ACCCTGGTCAGCTGTTAATGTATCCATCTGCAACTCGGTGCCAAGGTGGGATACAGACGTGGATCGCTATCCCAGTGTTGTGCCTTCGGTAGAATGCAGACCCAACCCAAGACTGAGGCTGATGCAGTCATATCGAGGATACTACTGTCTGCCGATTGCCATCAACCGGCAAGTGCTCTTCAAGCGGAGAGGTGAATGTAAGCGCAATGGCAAAGAGAAATGGGAATTCAAATTCAAAAAGATCGGCTATTCACATTGTGAGTGGGTCCAAACAATGCACGGCAAATAGACAATGGAAATAGTTCGCTAACCAGAACGTTTCCGTGCCTAGTTTTGTCTAATCCCTTGAGTGACAATAGCCAATGATTGAATAGTTAGCCCTTAAGATTACATGAAACACGTGTGCACCCATGTCATGCAGTCATGCTGCAGAATCATGTTTTCCACAATGGAACGGTAATTTCAGGCGTAGTTTTTTTTTGATTTGTTGAAAGGTTGTACCTACTATCTTCAGTACCGCCCAGCTGAGCAACATATTTGGGATGTTAGCACAGTGTTTGATTTGTTTCCCTCCACCGTTAACATTCTATGCAATAATCAACACCGATATGCTTCTAACATATTCTATGCAATAATCTGCATCAATTAATCTCTAACATATTCTATCGGCATGCTCTGACCAACTGACTATATTCTTCACCTCCCATCACAGAATCTATCACTCTATTTCAAATTAACACATTAGCTAATACTTAAAGGCAGTAGCGCCATAGTGGTAAATACATTGTTATAATTATAATTAAATTTTAACATCTGCCCCTGTTGCCTGATGATTTCATAGCAACTCAGAGCTGCAACAAACTGACCTTGTGCCTTGTTCTTCTGTGTAATTTAACATCTAATGTATTATTAGCTAACCACCTTCTTGACCTTAGTCCAAATCCTAATATTATGGCTTCCATCATTTTCACATAATTATTTTATACAACAACTGTTCTCCACCGCCGCAGTCAGGTGGCAAGGTACAAGTACAGCTTTGTTTATGTGCTGCGTGGGCAAGCATGGCCAAAATGTGACTATCATCATTGCCCTGCTGAGTGTTAACATGCTGTGATGTTCAGTATAGCCTATACTACTGTGTGACATGCTGGAAGATGATGAATGGGGCATACTGTGCAAGGTCCACAGCAGTGATTACCAGGGCTGGGGAGCACTGTAATGATTCACTGTACTTTGTGATGTGCAGTTTAAAATTAAGACTAGGATGATGTACCCATGCTGTGTGACCTATGCCATCAGCATGGGCTCGGGTCCACACTAGGACCACACAGCCACAAGGAGAAGTATTACACTGGGCACTGAGGCACAAACAAGTTGGATCTTCTCCAACTGACCTGCAGCCCTTCACCCACACCGTCCGTTCACTCACTATCAACAGGGAAAGGGACATTGATTGCCATACGTACCAATCTAAAAGGCCTTCCCTAGGGGAAGCGATGGCATCGTTACAGAAACTAACAAATGAGCTGGATTTTACCGCACTGCATAGTCTTTACACTCCACTTGGCCAGAGTAGAGCTGAGCAAAAACAACATTTGAATGACTTGTCCTTAGCAATAACTGCTCTCACTTACACAGGGCACAGGAATAGACTACACTGTAGTTGCTTCTGAGCCACCTGTTCTGAAATATTAACCTGAAAGGTGCATAGCGGAAGTACAAGAAAGAGACAGAGAGAGAGAGAGTGTGTGTCTCGGCAAAACTCAGCATACAGTAAAACGACCCCAGCTGTCACCTTAAGTTTGAAAAGATTTCAGCCACTCGGAGCCATACCGGCGTCAGGCTGTGAACCAGTAGTGTGATTCACTGGGTATTCATAGCAGCTATGGCAACAATTACCATGACAAAACCTCCCCATCAAATACCGCTCGTTCATGCCAGAAAGTATCCACCCACTACTGGCCAATGTTCTGATATGCAGGCATCATGATTTGAAACAAGTCAGGCATGGCACAAAATTGGCCACCCAGGCAGGTATCGATAATAATTATATGGAGCGTGTATGTGATGATGTCTACTCACTAGCTCTCTTCACTCATGACCGCGGGAGCTCTGCATGTCCATGAAGTGTGAACACCAGGGCTGGGCAATATGATGCTCTTCACCGCCGGATGGAAAATGGCCGTTCATGGAGAATTTAGTACTGTCGTGTGGCGAAGAACGGAGTGCAGAAGAAGGAACAGGCTAGGATTTCACCCAGCGCAGCATACCAATGTATACACGGTGACTCAACTGTGCATAGATTGTAGTTCATGAAAATAGGAGCGGCCTAGGCTAGGAGGCTGACCCCCAGTTCTTCGACACCCGGCGACAGTACTGGATTTGCTTAGGCTAGCACAGGTCAGTAAGCCATGTGCATTGGACCTATCATAGTCCACTGTGTTGATGCATGATGAGAACCTGTGAGATATACGCTTCAGTTTGAAGTCATCTCCCGTCAGGCAGTACACCTCTAGGCATGGAACAGTGTAGACTCTGAGTCTCTAGGCATGGAACAGTGTAGACTCTGAGTCTCTAGGCATGGAACAGTGTAGACTCTGAGTCTCTAGGCATGGAACAGTGTAGACTCTGAGGCAGTGGTCTACCTCAATGTACATACATTGCATTCAATTTGCCTTCTGGTACTAGTACGTACTTCATCGGAGTAGTACGCCATCTTGTGTGCTATCTCACAAGTTCCACAGAGCAGGGCTGTCCATTTCCAATATGAAACCGGCCAGAGCAGACTGCTGCATAGAATGTTGATACTGCCAGTCTTCTGTAACATGCTTTGCATTGCCCGGCAATGCTCTACAGAGTATAGGCCCTCCCCCTCCACAGCATGCATGCTACACAACCGTATCCTAGCTTGCAGGCCTAAAATCAATATTCTGTCTGGCACATTCCTACGACGATGGCATGCAAGGTGGATGTCAGCTACGGGATCAAAACCCGGACTGAACTAGCACGATTTCTGCTGCATTGGAGTGGTGCAATCAGGACTTCTACAAGCTAAGGACTAAGTCACACTCTGTCTCTGTCCCCTAAGTTCCGAAGCCATTTCCAGGAGCATCAAAACATCATCCGGCATGGAAATATGGAAACGTGCCATCACATGTGCCTGCACCAACGAATGTAAACAGCCACCTCAGCGATTCAGTGATTCGTTGCTGCATGCAGCATTCCTGTCCATCCATGTTAGCAACAGAAAGTTGTATCCTGGTAAACCATACTGCCGCAACTATGCCATTTCACTTTACATTGCCTTACCACAAAAATGGTGATCTGCTCGCTCCTCTAGATGCAAGATTACTGGACGGGGCTTGGTTTGAGTAGAAATCAAACACCACCGGCAGATCATTGTCTTGGCGGATACAGTCGTCTTTTCAGGATCGCTGTGCACGAAGTAATTCTACGTTTTCATTGTGAACCGAAAGAGCTCCTTGCCGTGTCTAGTATCAATCACGCACATGCTGACAAGGCTATGTCAAGCTATTCTCTGCTTGCTGCAGCGGCACTGGAAAGGCATTACACCTCAGTATACCCTTTGCCCACTACTATCACACCGCTACACACCACCGGTCCGGTCACCGTGCCTTATCCATATCAAGATCTCGTCAGCACTAGCAGGTGTGCGAAGGCCAGAAGTATCCCTCCATGTTTGGAGCCGAATACACGCGCACTAGCCACCACTGTCATCCACACAGTCGATAAGATGGCTCGTTCCATCCCATTGCATCTGCGACACAGCGGAGCAGGTCCGGAGAGTGATGACTTCAGCCGTTCACTTTCACCTGGTCTTGTTTATCTTGCGCTGCAAATGTTTATCTTGTCAAAGCTTGTATTGCATTGCACAAAGAAACATGAATGTCTGAGTCTAGCCTCTTCCGGCCATCAGTGTTTTCTGATTAGATCAGCCTTTGGGTGATGGATATTTATCGAGTGTCGAAGGCAGTCATGACAGCACCTCTCATTCATCTTTTGTTTGCCATTGCTGTTGGTTGCCGTTGTTGATGTTGTGTTGTTGATGTTGTTCTTACTGGACTTTTTGCAAGGACACAACCGTCGAAGGAGATCAGCCATGGATCAGCATGTAAACAACACAAGATCATTTGCAAGGCACGCTGTCCTGTCAGCGCAGTCAAAACAAATCATCGCACCATCTCAGATGCACGCTCCTGGCTTGCCTTGTCCTAATGACCTGCCAGGCTGGTGTGAATATACCCTCGGGCGTCCTAGCCGCCGATCCAGAGCTACGCTCCTGTCAAGCAGTAGAGAACACATAAAGAAAGACATGCAGACCATCACTTACTGTCAAGCATGACAAGCATGGCATGCAGCGTGGCCTGGCCACATGTGATCAGCTGTCGGACACGCATGCACCTGACCACATCGGAATCCCGTCCCCAGCGCACCTGAGCAGAGTGTGGAAGAGAAGCAGAGCAACACTATGAGTGCAGTGCCACTCAGCACAACAAGCAAGCATGAAAACGGGTGAGAACGTGCCAGGTTTGCCTGTCGGTGGTGCACGATTGCGCACATGCTGTCGACGGCTTTGGTCATGCATGTCAATCATCACAAAGTGCCTCAAACCGTATAAAGCCTGCTCAGAACTACTAACAATCAGGGAAGTCACGTTCACGGCCTGTGTGTACCACTGCCACGTGCCATGCAATAGTTTGAGTCTATCAGTCAACTTCAAAAATGGACAACATGCATTGTGCTCCCCATTTGACTATTACACCGTACACTTCAGCTAGGCAGCTTGGCTCCAGTTGATGGAGCTTTCCACGCTTAAGACTAGTGTCCACCGCAATGGTGCATGGCGCTTGGATAAGTGGATATATCTAGTGGCCGCCTTCCGGGTAAATACAGTGACATGTAAGGGTATGTCCGGGGTGAGTGCAGCGTTTGTCCTACTGACTCTCTTGCACATGCTTGCCTCGGTCTGACACAAAGCAGAAAGAGAAACAATAAAGTCGCCCGACTTGGCTCCACGACAAATCATTTCAGATGACATGGTCATTCATTCACGCACAGCCAACCAAGTTACAACGTGATCATAATTTTTAGTCTGCCAATGTTTATAATCAGAGTATGCAATGTTCAACATCTTTGAGTTGCAGAAGCCAGAAAATAATTATAAGAAATTGGAAATTGGTATCAAGTAGTATTATACAGTGCAAAATATTCATTGCCAGCTGGCCGCTGTATTCAGATATGCTGTGTTTGGAACACTCTCTAAAGGCAGTGAGGTGGGACACCAGGGGAAAATGTACATGGGGTCGCACACTATAGCTTAGCATAGCTGTGTGTACTGATGGATCAGAACCATCATCCGCTTGGCTGGAACTCTCATCAATTGCTAACTTTGATGCGCAGATAGTGAAAGCAGCATAGCAATTGAGACAGACAAAGAGGAAGACAAGAGAGGACTATGTAAGAAAGAGAAGGAGAAGAGAAAAGGAGAAAAAGGAGATAGAGACAGAGAGAGACAGAGAGAGAGACAGAGAGAGACAGAGAGAGAGACAGAGACAGAGACAGAGACAGAGACAGAGACAGAGAGACAGAGACAGAGACAGAGACAGAGACAGAGACAGAGACAGAGAGAGAGACAGAGAGAGAGAGAGAGAGAGAGAGAGAGAGAGAGAGAGAGAGAGAGAGAGAGAGAGAGAGAGAGAGAGAGAGAGAGAGAGAGAGAGAGAGAGAGAGAGAGAGAGAGAGAGAGAGAGAGAGAGAGAGAGAGAGAGAGAGAGAGAGAGAGAGAGAGAGAGAGAGAGGCGAGGACAGGGGGAGGGCAGGGGGAGGGGGAGGCGAGAAGATATTTCCATTGTTCACTCGTCATCGGTACCAAATCAATCAAATCCAATACCGTAGGCAATTGTGTATACATAATTATAGTATTGGTGATAATTATAGTTTACGTCCTGTACAGCATGAAGCCATGGGTAGTCATGATGGCATGGGTAGTCAAGAAACTAATCCCCATCACCAGTTGAACTCAACACTCAGTACTTGCCACAAGGTGACCTTGGCCTTTGAATAGGCGGATGCCATTGCATTGTCTACCGATGGCATGTAGATAGTCTCCTGCACACAAAACATGGTGAAAGGCTAGGGTAAGAGAAAGCTGGGGATGTAGTACAAGTACATGTATATGAATGAACTATCAACGAGGCACATGGGTGGTGTTGACGGGATCATCGTAAACGTGCCGATGCAGGACATCAATACTTGGAGCCGTTTGGGATTGCAAGGAAAGCTGCGAGGGCTAGGCGTCAACGTATAGTGGACACCCGACCAGCAGCTGCCATTTGACTAGAGAATCAACCGTGGATACAGCACTATCTGTTACCCTGAAGCCATGTGACATACAAGTAGTTGCCTAGCCAATCACAGTACTGCACCCGAGGCAGGTCCATATTTCATTGCATAGGCTCTGTTTATTCTTAACCTGCAGCAGTCACGGCCCAAGAGCCAGAATCTGCTTTCTGTTCAGCTGGACACTTGTCAGCTGCTAACAATCAAGTCAGTTATAGTGAACAGCACATTTTTCCGATGAGCCAGTGCAGAAGAAATAGAGTCAAGAGGCTGTACATCAGATGCTGTGAGCCCTGGGCTGCATCTCGAAACAAACCTCTCAGTCGATATAAGCTTGTGCAATGTGTTTACATGTTATCTCTTCCCTGGCCTAGCCCAGGTCAAGGCATGCTAGCTACCCAAGGTAAGTGAGACTTCATTTGGCTAATGTGTTTATGACTGAGTTCTCGTTTATCACTGGGTTCTGCAAACCGATTGCACAGGAAACCGGTCACATCATTAAAATCTCATCACCAGATTGGAGAACCTCATCTACGCGTAGAGATCTGGACCCAAAACACGCGAAGCCGTGGATTCTAACCCAGACACCTGCTCTCTACGTGATTTCTCTATGTTTCACGTATAGCAGAACCTCTCTAATTCCAATTAGACAAGCCATGAGTGGACTTCTTCCCATGGGAATAGTCGTTCTCTCTGAGTGTGTGCACGGCACTAAAATGTGCTACCCCCAACCGCCCATGCAGCTGTTACAGATGATAATGGTGGTGGGTAGAAGAACACTGATTCACATCAGTGATATTCCACTGTATGTGTCATGGAGTTAGACGTTCACTCTGGGCTGAAGTGAACTGTGCATTTTCATATTGGCGCGAATCGAAAAGGATTAAGGTATCAGCGCTTCAAGAGTATCAAGAGTTGCACATAGTTCATCAGAGATGTATTACCATGTGTTCCTGATGTATTACCATGTGTTCCTGATGTATTACCATGTGTTCCTGATGTATTACCATGTGTTCTTGATGGAAGTTGAAACATTTGTCACACACTACAGTACTGTCAGTCGCCGAAGGACTGGGGGGGGGGGGGGGAGGGGGGTCAGCCTCCTAGCCTGGACCATTCTTATTTTCACGTATTACAGTCTGTGCACAGTTGAGTCACCATGATTGTATACATTAGTATGCTGTGCTTGATGAAATTCTGGCCTGGTTGTTCTTCGGCACTCCGTTCTTCTGCACCTGACAGTAGTGTTGTACTGACAAACTGGGCTACTATGCTATGTACACTGTAGTATCATTCATATTCAGGCTTTCCAGTCCCAGTGCTCTAAGTACAATTGTTTAAACTTACAGTCAGTGTTGCAGGTGCGCAGAGTGTGAGGCTTGACTTCGTTCAGCAAGTGTTCTAGGCACTCTTCATCCCTGTACATGAGAGCAACCTCATGATCAGATCCGAGCCGCATGCAATAGACACGTCTATGCTGGTCACCTTGATGGCATGATATACTACACTGTGAAGACAACGAGAAAAATCATGGCAGAAAGAAATCATGGCAGAAAGAAATCATGGCAGAAAGATAGCCAAGGAGTGAAAGTCGGAAGGAACAACAGTAGCAGGAAGAGGGGAGGAAAAGGAAGAGACGAGAATGAAGGGTGAAAGAAACACAGAGTGAGAGAGTGTGTGTGTGTGTGTGTGTGTGTGTGTGTGTGTGATATTTTGCGTGAGAGAGTGAATGATAGAGTGAGTGAGTGAGTGAGTGAGTGTCGGAGTGAGTGAGTGAGTGAGTGAAGCATAGGCCTGCAGATGTCAAGGAAAAATGCAGGCACAATGACTAGGGTAATTGTTGATACACGTTCAGTCAAACACACTGTTCCAGGATACGTTCATAGCTCAGGTTGTGTCAGTCAAAGCCTACAGTAACAATTATAGACAAAGCTCAGACGGGCAAGAGGTAGAAATATCTGACGTTAGTGAAAGAATCACTTCAACTCAAAGTACGGGTGGCCAAAGCTACAGTCATGAACACTCACCTCTCCCCAAGGCTCCATAACCCATCGTAGTGGTAATGCAGCTTTCAACTGATCAACATGCTCTTTCTTGAGGAAAGCTTGCGGTGCTTGGTCGGTCAGAACTGCTGGGAATGGTGCTTGTGTGCTGGTTGTAGGAGCCGGGGTAGTCACCACAAGATGCGGAGATCTTACAGGATCATATGGTGTTGAGAAGAAGTCAGTGATGACCTGCATGTCGGTGGTCAATGGAGGAATTGTGAGTCTTGATGTGGTCGTCGGCTCACTGGTGGGTGCAGTGGTAGGTGTCGTCGTGGGTGTTGTAGGCGTGGTGGTGGGCGTTATGGTTGGTGTGGTAGTCGGGGTGGTAGTGGGTGTTGTAGTTGGAGTGGTGGTGGGTGTAGTGGTTGGAGTTGTAGTGGGTGTTGTCGTGGGTGTGGTGGTTGGAGTGGTGGTTGGTGTGGTGGTCGGTGGAGGAGCAGGAGTTGTCACGAAGCAGGCTTGCCGGGAACAGGTTTGCTGATTGGACGGCAGACGATTGGCATCACACAAGCTACCACTGACCTGTGTGAGGCCGGGCGTGTCACCTCTGGAAACAACACAACGCACACGACGGGTCTGAACACCTCCTCCACAGCTGCGCGAGCATCTTCTCCAATCACCTGTGTGCCAGCGATACACGGGACAGCGCATCCGTCGTAACTCTACCGTTTCCGGCTGAGGCAATTGCTTACTCTCGCAATTCTCTTCAAGAACTTCCCTTTCTCTGCCGCGGTCTGGTCCCGTTGTAGCAGTTTGTGTGCAGACAATGTGGCGCTGCCGGACCATAGTTCCACAGGTGCGTGTCCACTGAGTCCATGGGTATGGCTTCCATTCATACCGATACCTGTATCATGAAACACAGTACAGAGACAGACACTCACAGAGAGACAGACAAACAGACAAATGAACGGACGGACGGACAAACAAACGGATGGACAAACGGACGGGCTCTCTCTCTCTCTCCCTCTCCCTCTCTATCTCTCTCTCTCTCTCTCTCTCTCTCTCTCTCTCTCTCTCTCTCTCTTTCTAATAGGCTAGGACATGTTCTATTATGATATAGCAATACATACACGATAGGACACGGTGCTCCTGAACGACAGCGCTTGCGTCTCAGAGAACTAGGCTTGGAAAGCTTCAAGGTTTTGCAGAGGCTATTGCTGACGGACTTTGTTCCCACCATGCACTGCACGACTGCAGTCTTAACACCTGGAACGGCATTGACAACCAGAAACCAGAAAGCACACACACGCTGGATGCACTACCTCAACACTTCAGCGAAGACTGGATATCCCTCCTAAGCATAACCATTAAGTTAAGAAATTGTACTGAGGAAATCATAGAGCAAGTCATGACGAAGTTCTCCGCCCAACAATCACGCGCACACAGCACTAAAGCATTATTCAAACTGCTGTGCACTCCACTGAGTTATGGAGCGAATGTGAACAGATTGACCGTGCATCAGTACATACCTATTCCACATGTCACCGGGCAGGCTGGACGGTCAAGGTCTTGACCCCACTCCAGCGCAGTCACCGAGTAGTCATATGTTGCTGTGGGGCGGAAGGTGGTAGCTCGGCCACGGTATATCTACAGTGAAGGAGAGGCCAACATTGAGCAAACACCGTCGTGTCTGAAGTGTTGAATTGGTAAACGTACAAAGCATGCCATCACATCGTGTCGTGTTTAGGAACGTCTGCAAACTATCTGCAAATATGACTGCAATGCAGAGCTTCATTTAGAACTTATCAGCCATCTTCTCTACCTCTTTCACGCTAAAATCAAATTCTTTTGTAGTTCTGTAGGGCACTAAAAAGAATAAGGCCACATCCTTAAAGTCTCCTCGGTTTTTATCCGGTGCTGCACAGCACTTCGACATACATGTTACATCACTGGCTTCACAGAAATAACCTGGCTTACTTCCACTCTCAGCGGACGCTTCAAATGTCCACTGACTTCCAGGGTCTCTGGGATGCCAAAGTAGCGCGAGTGAACAAGCTCTGCATCGCTGTACCGCACCCTGCTGACACCCACGTCTAGGACAGCGATCACAAACTCCTGTGAGTTCTCCTGATCTGGGTCTCTGGCAACTAAACAAATGGACAAAAATAGGCACAAGTAGCACGACCATGGCTTCAACGTCTTGTGCCAAGTTGTTATAGCCTACATGGATGTGTTATGTGTGACGTCATGAGTAGATCATCCTAGTTACTGTCGCTATGCAGACTTCCCCTGTATCCACTGTGTGCGCATGTACGATGCACGGTGGTAACATGGTCCTAACCTAATCTTGCTGTTCAAGTTACTCAGCATCGGGTACAATGATTCGGATGACGCCATGCAGTCCGCTACTTACTGATGTATACGGGCTCGGTGGTTGGCCTCATCTGAATCTTGGCACGAACAGTATTGACTGGTAAGGAGATGTACCAACTAGATCCTCCTGAGATAGACAACATAGTGGGAAAGTGCCATGCAGGTATCGTAAACATTGAGTGTCAATCCTACAATCCCGGGATCCTTCATTTTAAATGCACCCTTCCTCATGAAGCCCATGTATACAAGCAGTGATATAGTAAGGCACTGAATTCCATACTGGCCTCAACTCAACGAATCCTTGGCATGCACACGCATACATGCGCGCACACACACACACACACACACACACACACACACACACACACACACACACACACACACACACACACACACATGATCTGTTACCATTGCAGACACCAGCAAATCAAAGATGGGGCCTCCAGAGGAGTATGTCAGACAATTCATTTTGGCACAACTATTCTTCTACGGGCACACAGAACCACACACATGCACTCACTGGTATTAAATAGACCCGTAACTTGACGACAAGTTGAATTGTCTCCGCCGCAGATGCCACATTTGTCTGTGGCTAGTGTTGAGTTGAAGACATTGTCACACCCGACTCTCTGCAAAAACGGTGAGTCAAAAGGGGGAAATATCAATAGCCAGACCTTTGATTAACACAAACAATTTGATAGAGGGTGAGCAAGGTGTACCCGAGGAGAAAATCGACAGGAATTGCATGATGGCGAGTAACAAATCTTCGACTGGATAATGCATGTTTTGACATGGAACAGACTACACTGTCTTAGCCTGGACATTGTTTAGATCTCAACTACTCCCCCCCCCCCTGCCCCTGCCCCTGCCTCCCCCCCCCCTCCCCCTGCCCCTGCCCCTGCCCCTGCCCCTGCCCCTGCCTCCATAGATGTGCCTAATCACAGTAGGACTGTACCTCACACCTGCCGCTGACACAGCGATCTCTCGAGTGGAGTGTGCACGGTGTGCCGTCCTCCACTCGCACTGTCTGCTGCTGGACGGCTTTCGTCACGCCTCGGTAGCATTGTAGCTGAGTGCAGTGCTGTGATGGGTTGCCTGTGCAAAATAACACAGTGAACACACGGCATCCAGTGCTAACATGTGCTCATTACCTACAGTTGACAGTGAATAGGAGGTTCTCCATTTGGGGAGTCAACCTTGCTTACCGTGCTCCTCATACAGCTCATTCAGCCTCTAACACTCGGACGGCTCACTCAGCCTCTCAATACGGCTCACTCAGCCTCCGTAACCGGGGCCGTGCCCAGCTGCCTCAATACTGCTCACTCAGCCTCCGCAGCAGGGCCCTGCCCAGCTGCCACACATACACATTCACACAGTTCTAAGCTGGCACTAGCCCGGAGCCTGGCAAAGCAATTGACAAACCCTCCTATTCCCCAAACTGGTTGTTCACTGTGTGAGTGCGGCATGCAGATGCTGGTGTTAAATAATTGGTATGGTTTCACACGCCATTGTCAGTGTGCCAAATACATTTCCACGCTAAAGTTCCCATACTGTGTGAATTACACATCACACACGTTCAGAACGCGAGCACAATAATTATTTCGCATGACGATGCATCTTTTCCCAGTCTGCAATATTTTGTGCGGGAGGCTCTGCAGTCTGATACAAACATGGCGTGGCCATATTCTAGAATACTTAGATGGTAGTGTAACCATTACTTCTGACTGCCAGTGACTTACCGCCATAGAATGGATGAACAAGTCCAGAGTCGGTTCCAAACGTCTGGTTACACTGGCGCGCTCTGCTGTACTCCTCACGGGTGTCACAATCCTGAACCACCGACAACATATATGCACGTTCATACACACAATATTTTACGCGCACATACATGCACATACATGCATATATTTACTTGTACTAATCTTTTGTAAGAAGAAAAGAGGACCAACTAACTACTCTTTTAATTCCATTTTTTCTTTGGGCAAGAATGCGTCGTGTGGACAGTGTGTTTGCAGACTCACACTGGCCTTTCCTTGGTATTGATTGGTACCTGGCCAACCTGCCCCAGACTTTGGGTGTGCACTAATACATGTATTGCTCTTTCTCTCTTTTCTAGTTAGCTGTGGCAGCCATGCCTGGGTTGTGGAGTAGAGACAATTTCAGTAGTAACATGCCTTTGTGCAACAGGGTCTCAAAGACATTTCCAATGCTTAGTTCAGTACATCATAATGAATGGACGGAGGTCTGAGCAAAGTAGGGAAGTGAAATCTAATTGCAGATACATCTCACTGCAGTATCACCATCAACATCACAAAACATGTAGTGAGAGCCAGAAAGAGGAAGTTGTTGATTGAACAATAATAAGGCTTCCGATTTCCTGATCACTGTCCAGTCCTGAGAAGTTTCAAACACTTTTCCCATAGTTTAGCTACATAACAGTAGTGACCATAAACCTTGCTGCAATTGAGGGATCATATGTAGCGCACCTGATTATTGCACATGATATACTCCCGAGATCGTCCTATGCACTCCGCTCCTCCGCAACTTGGTCTAAGTGCACACAAACAAAGCATAATACGAACGTATTGAGTTGAACAATTAACACGTTGATGCAGTACACAAGGTAGGCTAGTTTAAGTAGATCTGGTACCAACACCGACACACACACACACAATGGTACGTGGCGCAGCAAAGCTTGCACATCCACATTGCATACCGTGGATTGTTGCAAGTGCGATCGCGGTACTTCACACCACCACCACATGGACGTGAGCAGGCAGTATAAACAGACCGCGTGCTCCATCCTCCGTTGATAGGTGTGCAGTCTGGCGTCGCTCTGAGGTGGAAACATCACATAGAACCAGACACGGATAGACTGGAATGGAGAGCCAAGGAATAATTTATAGCAAAGAAAAGAACAGGACCAAGGAACTACAACTTGCACTACAATGTCCACTAACACCAGTTACTTGACAATCAGCTCATGCGATGACCTTGCATGACACTAACGTTAGACACACTCGCGCAAGTACAGTCAACTTTGCGTATATCGACAATCGGCGGGGCATGAGAAAAGTGTCCTTATTTGCGAAGTGTCCTTATACCCGAAGTCTCGTTATATGTATTACAGTTTGATGGGACTTTGCTCTGGGCATGGAAATTCTGTCGCTATTCGCGAATTGTCGTTATATCCACAGTCGTTATTAGCGAAGTTGACTCTACTTCAAACTGGATTCTATCAGCACCAAAATAATTCTGGATCCCTGACTACACTACCTAGAACCAACCCAACACATGAGTAAACTGACGTAATGGTATGCACTGTTCACCATGTACCAGCACCGGTGAGTGTGTTTCAGATTGGAGTGGGCAGGACTAGTGTGGTGTATGTGGGGGGGGGGGGGGGGGGGGCTCCAGCGGGATTGCGGGAGTTGGTACTGAGAGAGACGTTTGGCCATTTTTCGTGATATTAGACCCGAATTCCTCAATAACCTCCCCCTCAACCACGCCTTACCCCCCCCCCCCCCCACCCTTGAACCCCCCTGCTGCTCATGCACTCTGTGAGTAAAGGGCATGCCAAATATCCTTACAGACCAGTCATGAAGCTCTACCTATTGATAATTATGCAAACATCTCAGTGCAGTGAATTGCGAGTGCAGAAACCTACGAGCATGGTGAGCGAGTACACGGTACGGTGTTGCGGGAAGGGCGCCAGATCCCTCGGCATTTCGCATTGTCCTCTTTGATCCGGGTGGAAATGCTTTCACAAGCATACTTTCGCATTTGTAGGCCTGCAGGTTGGGAGTAGACAGAAATGCCAGCCTGCATGAAGCGGTGATGTATTGTCCAAATCCACACACACAAGTTGAAATGTATCTACCTTCTCATGTACACCTTGAAGATACGGTAGTGAGGACTAGAACTGGCAAAGCATACCTGTTCCGCAGGTGACTGAGCAGGGAGTATAGACCATCACCCACTTGTACTTGGGGGTGTCACGCACATCCAGTGGCAAAGCGTACTCGTACTTCACGCCCAGCTGTGCACGGTTGAGAGTGAGATTGTTCTTGCTGGAAACTAAGATCTTCCGTGGGCAGAAAGAATAGAAACAAGCCATGCCACAGAAAGAGACTGTTATGTTGTTAAACTTGTGTTCCCTATGGGTTGCTTTGTTTGAGAAGTTGCAGCTACCGCATTGTTACGACTTCTGTGTTATAGAGCTCTAACCGTGGGTAATGATCTCTGTGTGGGCAGTGAAGGTAGCCTATTGTCCATTACTTTGAAAAAGTAGTCACGAGTGTTTGAACAAGAGAAGAGCATGGACATGTTCGAAATCGGGAATCAATCAGAATTGGCCTTGCTTTCACACCTCACCTCCACAGTTGTCTCATGTCGCAGCGGACCCTGAACGTTTATGGATTCGCCAAGTCCGATGTAGTACTGGTAGAGCAAAGGCGTGTCTTGGAATGTCGAGTTTTTTGCCACTTGTGCATCATGTGGTATGGTTGGCGTTCTGTTAGCTGCCCAGGTTCTTTGGGCATTGAATGACAACGCTGTATAGACAGAAACGAGTGTAAAAGGAGACGTGCCAATTGTATATCTGCAGTACACAATAGACGAGGGATACATTCTGCGAATTCTACTCAAGATGTGGCTTGGGTTTACACATAAAAATCATAGCTGAACAGAGAGAGAGAGAGAGAGAGAGAGAGAGAGAGAGAGAGAGAGAGAGAGAGAGAGAGAGAAGAAAGAGAGAGAGAGAGAGAGAGAGAGAGAGAGAGACACGAAAGCTCAGTGTCTGCTCCAGCGCCGGGTGAGCCGGGTAATCCACCCGGTTGGGCGGCGCTTGGACCCGGTTGAAAATATAGTACTGGGTCACCTGTGACCAGATTGGTACTTTACACTTTCGAACTTTGAAAGGACTGACTACATGGCTTGTATCAAGAGTACAGGGGGGTTATGTACTCTTGCTTGTATGTGTCAGATACTTCTTCTTTCGTAATTTTCTAATTCCTGTCCTCTCTTTTCTAAATGCGGCTTATCCATTCGCCTTTATATCATTGGGCCTAGTTCCCGTTTAAAGCATGAGACTCGGCTGGTGAGACAGCGCCAGGTACATGTGTACCCGGCTCCGACCCGGTTGAAATTGTTGCGCCAGGTACACGTGCACCCGGCTGTCCTACAATCCTAGAGCAGACACTGAAGCTGCAAACACTCACCAATGAATGCACCGCGCACAACTGTTGTCTGCTGCAGAAAGACATTGAAAGCCCCTGCTGGGAGTTTGACGACTTCAGTATACCCTAACCAAGGAAAATTAGAAGATCACACACATGTGTTGTGTGTGAATACTTTTTAAAAGTAAGCATTGTGTTGACAACTAATCACCATATCACGGATGAATCGTGTACATGTAGCTTAGAATCCAATCCAACATATGGAATAGATAATGATCACAATTCTGTGAGGTGAAATGATATCCGACAAAAAGTGCACAAGTGGCGGCCCGGACTTGAACGGCACGTGATGCTCTGAAAGTACTATGATTTCTGCTGGATGTATACAGGTACAAATACAGTGGGAACTGGTCCAGGGCGCCGGTTTTGCACTTCGGGTTGGATTTCACTCTAGTGCAACTGTAGAAGACTGTCAGTTCCACCATGTAACGCTAGTAGCTGGCATACATGTACCAACATTCAATTACACATTTCCAGTACACATAGTTACTTCCCCAAACTCTGTTCCAGGCAAAGCACACATTCCAACACGTTACATACAATGCAGAGTAACCCCCCCCCCCCCCCCCCACACCCCACACACACACACATACACAAACACACTCTTTCTGTTTCCCTCACACACAGGCCATAATAGCGTCGTACCTTTCTTCACACTCATATCCAGTCGAGCACCACCCTGGATGAAGCGACATCCACTGCCTTTTCCATTGCAGACACCACAGACATCTTTCACTCTACTCGAGTTGAATTCACCATCACAGCCAACATTCTGAAAGAGTACAGAGGGCACAAAGCAACACATCCTCTCTCACACCCAGCTTAAAACAGACTAAGCAGGCTCAATATCCACAAACGAAGCAAAGCAGGATTGAGAATTCGGAACTATTACATTCTCCTACGCGCATCATGTGAACTCACAGGGTGTATGCTGAAGATGCTACGCAGGTAGTTGGCCTTGTACAAGTACTTGCATCTACACGAAAATGCTATTTACAATGTACTGGGAATAAAAAAAGTGGAAACCAAAGAGATTCTTTGTTCAGGTATGTGTGTCAAGGGCATGTGTTCAACTTACCATGCATTTACCCTTGAGACAACGATCCGACGAGAATGGTGTGCATTGCGTGCCATCGGGCACAGAGGACAGAAATCTCACAGGCTCCCTCAGAGTCGAGTGGCAATAGAAGCTACATTGATCCGCTACGACAAGGACAATGTTGTACCAGGGTAACACATGCGCATACATCAACAAACACACATGCGCATTCGCACACACACACACACACACACACACACACACACACACACACACACACACTCACACACACACACACACACACACACACACACACACACACACACACACACACACACACACACACACATACAAACATACATACATGCACATACATGTACATCAGTGCTGCCAAATAATTTTCGCCCAAAATCGGACACCCTTCACCGCCAAGGCTGGCCACATGGTGCGAATTTTTCTCCTCGGCAATTTTTTTACAGTGAATTCAAAATATCGCCTAAAACACCATGAAAATTCGCTTCGTTGCCATGGTAACCCCAGAGTTGTCATGAATTTTGTAATGATGAGTGTGGTCGCACACTGACTCTGTACAGACTGTCAGTGTACATGCCATCCAGCCTGATCCAGGCATGTTACTTTGCACTTCCACAGCCAAGCGCTAGCCTTTTTAGAAGCAAATGTACAGTGATTTGTGCCTTTAGTTGCGCTGAAAAGTGAAAGTACAGGACTTCTGCATAGGAAAGTAATGACCTCCGACATTTTGGTTGCTTTTCGGACGTTTCCCTTTTCGGACCGGTTTTCGGAAGAGCCTTCAAAAATCGGACACTATCCGAAAAATCGGACGGTTTGGCAGCACTGATGTACATCCACGTGCACACACAGATCACCTTTAGACACCTGTTTCTCAGTTTCCTGACAATGCTTCATGCATTTGACCTACATGAAAGAACCACGCAGACCAACCCTGAAAATACAGGGAAATGGATCAATCTCCTGGGATCACTGGTGTCCTGCTACTCTAGAGTCAGAGTTCAGACGGCCACTTTCATCATCGGAATAGCCCGATGATACCGGCATAGGCCAGCAGTGTGTAGATGATGCCTTACCTTGCCAGTATGGCGTCAGCCGTGGCTCACTGGCAGGAAGTCTGATCTGACTGCACTCTCTCACCCTCCAGTCTCGAAGATCAGAGCACGGCTGCAGTGCAGAAATAAGTGTAGAAAAAGAGTCAGTCGGTGATTTGGGATGTTTGATGGGTCAGACTGACTGATCTCTCTTGGCACAAGAGCACACAGCTGTTAGTCGACTGCAAAGAATCCACTACTGGAAAATTTATGGTGGACTTTCTCCTATATTTTCTTCAGTTACACATCTTTTATTAAAAGAAACTTGTCCGGCCCGAAGCTGTGCTGCCACCTTTGCACCATGGCTGGAAACTCGTCTTACTTAAAGCTTGTAATTGCACTGATGAGGCCTTTATGGCCGAAACAGCTTGCTGTCTACAGTATTGAATAATTTATTACGATATGATATTACGATATGAGCAGGCAGGCATAGTGGGATGGTCTAAGACCATGATTGAGAAACAGAGGGTGCCAGGTTCAAGTCCTGCTTGGAAGCGGAAGGATTTTTTCTAGCTGTGCTGCGACCCACAGTTAATTGGGAACTCGTGGCCTGGCACGAGGAAAACATGGATGCAGTGAATGGGATTTTCGGTCTTTGACCACTTGCTGGTGAGCTGATCTACTCACCTCCCACCGCTTTAGGAGCTGCATCTGCGCCTTGATCCTTGAAGGGTGGTGGCGTTCCTACGGATGCGGAAAACCCGGCTTCCCGCCGAGTCTCACGCGAACCGTGAAATTTATTTTTATTTTTTTAATTACGATATGAGCATTGGTCACCTGAACTAACCTGGGCATTGCAGAGCTTGTAGGTACGTGCTGCGCCCTCACAGGGGCGTCCACCATTCTTTGGCCTGTGCAAAAAATAATCGAAAATCATGAGATGCACAGAGTTGACACAGGGTTTGGACTGCTCCTCTGTGATTGCACCACACAACCTGGAATGGAACAGCAATTGGTTTTTATCTGTAAGACCTGCGGACATGCTGTACCACCATTGGCTTACTTTGGATTGTTGCAGATGCGTTCGCGATAGGCCGTTCCACCTCCACAACTCCTCGAACAGTGAGTGTAAACTGAAAACAAACTCCATCGTCCATGCACTGGATTTCTGCCCAAGGTAACAACAGTAGACAGTCCCCATCAACCAATAGTGTGATAAGCAAACACACAGGCCGCTGAGAGATGACCCAAAACATGAACAGCTACTTCACAAACAGTACATTATGAAATACAGAGAGCATTCTTTAGGGATTTGACAAAATAAGATTGAGAAACAAATAATGCTAAAGAGTATAGCCGTATCGGTGACACGAAGATTCTCCACAATGCTATTGCTGTCATTGTCGTCGCTAGCTGCTGTTTTATTAGAAAGGCTTAACAGTACTGCGTGTAGATTTCTCTCACAGGGTACTAGTGCCCTATACATGCATGTAAGTAACATTGTGCTTGGAACATGTTCACAGATGGAGCAGTGCGGATATCGCGTGGCAGGGGGAGCAGTGAGTTACAGCGGTCAGCAGCTAAGAAGCCAGGCAGTGCGAAGAGGTCAGACCTGGTCAAGACAGGGATGTAAGCGTCACGTTGGCAAACACACCTCATGTAGCAGCTCTTCGAGGAGGGAGGGAACAGCAACAGTAGCTAAACCATGTAGCCTAGTCTGTGTTACAGGCCGGCTATGGATTATTGTTCTTACATTGGGCAGGGTTTCAGTATGCAGGCTTCCCCTGAGCGAGCGGGCTTGACCAATCCTGCACACTTTGAATCATCTTTCACTTTCCCTCCATAGACATCCATGCACCTCAGGTGAAAGTACATTAGGCCTGAACGGAGATACACACACAAACAAGTTCATACACGTGCATGCATGCCACCTAAGGAATCCTGATTTCTCAGTCATATTCTATATAGCAGCATAAGTTCGCATGTGCCAAGACCATGCTTAAAACCGGTGAATATTCAGGGTTAGTTTGTAACGATTATCCCACTCGATGGGCTTGCTGATGCTGTACAAAAACTGAGCACTGGCGTGTCTTGGAATGGGTACTGAAGCACCTGGATAATTGCTCCAGCATGCCTTGCCAGAGACACAAGCACTGTACAACAGTAAATCGCCAATGCAGCACAGATGGTGAGCAAAATGAGGATTGAACCGTGGGCTCAGGGGATTCCCCCGAACTCCCTAACCCAACCCCAGTATGAGGGACGTGGCAGCGTGTGACGTCACGGTTGAAAAGTAAATTTCAAACCGTCTCATCAAATAAACTCTTGCGACTACACTCCTAATAGGCCATGGGGGGGGGGGGGGTCTTTGGCCCCTACTGTAGAGGCATATCACAAGTATACTTAGCACTGCAGAACCGTATTTCCCGATTATAAGTCGCAATAGATTGCACACCCGTTTCCATACTTGAGCCATATTGTTTCAATATAGTCAGATCAGTGGGATGCCACACCCGATCGTCAGTCGCATCACCTTCCAAGATTCTCTTGAAGTTAAGTGTAGAAAGGTGCGACTTGTATTCGGGGAAATACAGTATTGTGCATCGCTTACCTCGTCCACAAGTGACAGAGCATGCTTGTCGGAACGGCACCCATGCAAGCCCACTCGCTGCTACAGGTCTACGCGGCCTCTGGTACGACAGGAGAACGCCAGGGTTTACGCCATTCCTACTCCACACCTGCACAACACGAGCAAATGCCAACACTCATGTGCTTGGCGCCTTCCTTGCAGAAGGAAATGATGTTATTTTTCCTAACAACAGAATAAATCATGGCATGACACATACCTACAGGATACATGTCAATAATAGACTAAACACCTCAATTGGCTGATTTACAAGTCTATCTGCAAGTTAATAATTATATAGATAATAGACCTTCAAAAGAGAACCAATCCTGTTTTTTTAGTCATTCTCCCAAAGTTCAAGCCCAATGTTACTCATGCCTACTACATCAGGTGAGTTATCAGTGCTGTTGTCAGTACTCACTCCAATTTCAACAGCAAAGGCCAGTGGTCCATGCAGTACAATGCGTTCATGCTGCCCGGCATTGGCACTGTGGGTAACTCTCGTTCTCAAAACTGGATTGTAGATGTTTTCCCCTCGTTGGATTTGAACCGTCCGACGTCCGTTGGGTATCCTGACAGCTGAGCAAAAATAGCAATGAGAAAATCAGATGAAAACAAAACATTGCCGTGTTGCTATATCCAGATATTCATCAGTTCAGGATAGATATGCGGGGCCAGAAAACCAATTTCAACCACATGACTGATGCTCACTGCTTGTGATAGAAAGGGTTATCTCTGCTTGCTTCTGCAAGTGTTTTCCTTCAGAGTTTTTAAACTGTGCACATGATATTGGCTGAATGATATTTCTGGCCCGTTCGACCTTGGACCATTAAAAACTATATTTAATGAATGCATACCGCAGCTAACCCTGTTACCAATCATCAGGACTTCCCCGTGCACAATACGGCAAGCCCAATAACCCCCACCCCGCTGTGTGTTTCACTCCTACATTACAATATTATCGTCAACTAAAAGTCCAATCATAGCAATCTAGAGCCACGGTGTCTACTGTATGTGAATAGCTTGCAGTCTTACCCAATATAACAGTCCTGGTAGAGCTTAACTTTACCACCTCAACGTTACTTGAATTTGCTTCAACATCCGTGAGCTTGTTGTAGCCTTTGTGCCCATACCAAAGCAGAAAGAAGTACAATATTTCTTTACAACTATGCTGCACAGAGAAATCAGACATAATAATTATGATCTCGTAGTAAACGTCCCCACATTCAGCATCCGAGCCAGGCATTGGCAACTTTCTGGGCATGGATGCAAAAAATGTACCGTATTTTTCCTGTTGTAAGTCGACCTTTTACGACTAAAAATAGGAGAAAGGGTGGGGGGGGCGACCTACAACCGGGATTCGACTTATAACCGGGAACTATCAGTATCTTTTAGAAAAATGACCTGCACTGCATGCACGAGTGCACCATGTGTACACATTTGTGCCAGTTTATTAGCCTTTTTTCAAGGAAAGGGACATTATACCCTCCAATAAGAAATGTTTACATGATCTGTTGATGTGTAAGTAGCAGGGAGTGGTTAGTAGTGCTTCGTTTGGTGAAAACTTTAAAAACCTGAATTGAGACCTCCGGATACGGGGGTCGACCTATAACCGGGGTCGACTTACAACCAGTAAAATACGGTATGTATATCCACCGCAGACTCGGTGTACACGAAATTCTACACACTTACGAATGATGCGTGCTGCAGGTGAGAATACCAGCTGAAAAGCAAGGCAAATCAGAGCGAAGGAATAGATGCATAGTAGCATCCATCCTGTAATTACGCGAAACATTAACTGTCAGGCCCATGTAGAGTTATGACCTGTTGGAGAGTATGCATCAGTGCAGTTCAACATTGGCTTACCAGATCTGGTGATTTGCCTGCTGAACAGCGCTGTGTGCACACACGACGAGTTGTCGCCATTGCATATGCCGCACACATCCCACAGAGCTGTGGAGTTCACTTTCCCGTCGCAGCCAAATTTCTATCAGAAACATGAGCATGTACACCAGCATGCGGGCAACAACCCAGCAGCAAAGCGAGGTGGTGACAATGATCTCAAGCTAGTATGGAATAGGAACGAGTTGCTGAGTGTTCTCAGTCTCCAGAGAAATGTGAACAAAATATTAATCTACTAAACTGTGTGCTCCGTGTGTAGTACGCATAGACAATAGTGAAAATGCCTTCACACAACGTTCTGGGCTTCGTACCGGCCAAGAAAATTGGCTTCATAGCAGAAATGAGCTGCGAGTAAGTCGCCTATTAGTTATATTGTGAACTCTGACTCCTAAAATGTACACCTCACACACTGACTCCTAGAATGTACACCTCACACACCTAGAATGTACACCTCACACACTCACTCCTAGAATGTACACCTCACACACTCACTCCTAGAATGTACACCTCACACACTCACTCCTAGAATGTACACCTCACACACTCACTCCTAGAATGTACACCTCACACACTAAACTCCTAGAATGTACACCTCACACACTCACTCCTAGAATGTACACCTCACACACTCACTCCTAAAATGTACACCTCACACACTCACTCCTAAAATGTACACCTCACACACTCACTCCTAAAATGTACACCTCACACACTCACTCCTAGAATGTACACCTCACACACTCACTCCTAAAATGTACACCTCACACACTCACTCCTAAAATGTACACCTCACACACTCACTCCTAGAATGTACACCTCACACACTCACTCCTAGAATGTACACCTCACACACTCACTCCTAGAATGTACACCTCACACACTGACTCCATCATCACTGGCATGACCTGAGCATATGTAGGGAGGAGAATCGAAATGACTGATTGTGTTAGCTACTGGCGGCTTACAACGCATTTTCCGCGTGCACATCTGTCTTCGGATCTCTGCTGTGACAAGCAAACGGTGCCATCTGGTACGATAGTTTGCCTCATGACCGCGTTGGATGGTGATCCCTCAATTTTGCACCACAGAGAACATGGCGCATCTAAGTGATCAGGGTAGAGGAGAGCAACAAGGAACAATATTATTGAACATGACGACATAGAGCGTACGATTAAAGACCATTGTGTTGACGGAAAACGTGAAATTTGCAATTAATGGGCAAATCTGCCGAAAATGAAAAGGGTCCTTTAGAGTTTAGACCACCGAGTCGAGGAGGAGGAGGCCTCAATGTATGAACAGTGCTTCTCACTGAATTCGATCGCATGAGGCAAGTTTGCGCCCTGCACCCAGTGCTCCTAGGTCTAGACGTGTGCAACACCCAGTGTGTATTTGATACACGCAATCGGATTTCACCGAGCAGAACTGTGTACATGTATGATCAGAAGTGATACCCCTTCACTTGCCTGGTCTGTCAACACTGATGAACTTTAGCCTGCGGTTTCCCGTGCTTGCTTGGCACAAGGCAGTTCTTCCATGCCCTTCACCCGCTACGCATGGCTGTGAGAATGCAAGCAAAAAAAAAACAGAGAGTGAGTGCGTTTGTGGGAATGATATTTCAGTGCCAAACACAACCTTGTTTATGAGCTGAGCCTCACCTTTCTTCCACACATCTGGTAGCCCCGCGTTGCTCCCTTACAGTCTGTGCCGCCATTCTGTGGCCTAATTCAGGGAATGCAAGGCACAGAGGAAAGACAACTTAGCTCTCCATTAAAACACTGTCACTCCAAAGAATGAAAATTACAAAACCTTTAGAACGAGTTATGCAGCAACTATCCACGACTGTAACAAGATGATAAACAGTCAGAAAGTGCGGTAATAGAGCACAAAAGTGACAGGCTACTGAGACATTCAGCGACCTGAGACCTAGCTCTAACACATCTCCAGTTCGCAAACCAACAGCCTTCCAACCTGGAAGGTTCATGGTTACGTAGGACCGAAGAGGGGTAGGTGTGTGCAGCGAAAATGTGCACAAGATAAGTCCCACATCGACAAAGAATGCCGACTTTTACAGGACGATGACGAGACCATTTAATAACATGAAAATGCTGTCTAACTACAATCCGAAGCAGCAAAGCAACACACCACCCAACTTGGTTGGGTCAGCAATATCAGAGATAAAGGAAGGGGGAAGCTTCTCATGTGTTTTCTTCTCTCATTTTTTTACATTTATTACCGGCTCAGTATTCGAGTCAAAATTTTGCAAAACCTTTACTCCATGTATAGAAGTGATCTCTTCAAAGGTCAAAGTGGCTGTTATCATTCGATTTCAATATGGATAGCTCACACCACCAGCAATGCATACACATCCACATCCACAGACGTCACACTACAAGCAACACCATGCACATCCATATCCACAGACCTCACACCACAAGCAACACCAGGTGCGTACGCAGGGTCGGCAGGAGGGGGGGGGGGGGGGGGTTACATGGGGTCCGTTGTAGTAAATAGTTACGTCACGTCAACCAACTCTCGTGCGCGCGTCGCGTGTTTCAGCACATGCGCAGTGCATGAAGATGTCAAGTAGTCGTAGAATCTGCGACTTGACGACTCGTTGACAGCACGGTGCGACGCCCACGCACAGCGCAGGGCAACAAAAGACGAAAAACGAGAAAAAATCGTTCAGTCGGCTGACAGAAAGGGGGGCTCGTCTGAACCCTGTAAAACTCCCCCTGGGTACGCGCCTGGATACATACACATCCATATCCAAACTCCACAGACCTCACATCACAAGCAACACATACACGTTCATATTCACAGACCTGCCTAGAACTATCCTAAGCATACACAAGTAAGCTTAGCTGTTGCAAATTACAGTCCTTGCTGGCCACTGCCTATGCAAGTGCTGTTCACAGTCCTTCCTGGCCACTGGCCACTGCCTATGCAAGTGCTGTTCATGTACAAAAGCTGTACAAAACTCTACTGGTACAGACACATGAGAATGCGACAGTCAACTGCACAATGAACTACTTACGGGGGCTGCGTACATGTGCGACTTTGATACTGCACACCGCCGCCACAGCTGTGAGTGCAATGCGACCACGCCGACCACCTAGTCCAGCCACCGTCGACAGGTCGATTTGTGATCCGGGGCGGTATATCCGGGGGTGGTAGGTGCTTTGGCCGCTTTCCAGGCAAGTACTCGGGTATCTCGGCACGACTCTGATCATCAATACTGCGGTGGGTTAGGTATGGTGGAACATCTGCCTCATCCACACAATTGTAGCGATAACACAGCTGAAACACAGAGTTCAATACAATATCGGAATGAGCGGTTCTTTTTTTTTTGCAAAAGTCACAATGAACCAGGTGTGAAGTTCATGGCTGTGTGCTGAGAACTTTCATATTGAAAAAGTGAAGTCATACCATCTCTCCCTGAAAAAGTGAAGTCATGCTATCTCCCTGATGGTTGCAAGGTACATGACTACATGGACCTGTATATATTTCCTGACAGTGTTGACAGTGTTGTATGGGAAGGGTAGCTCTTTGAAGCAAAGCACAAGAAATTGAGATGCGGTTTAGTTAACATACAGAGCGAACCACCCATAGGCAGCTATTTGAAGCAAAGCACAAGAAATTGAGTTGCGGTTTAGTTAATAAATATACAGAGCAAACCACCCATAGGACGATCTTTGAAGCAAAGTACAATACATAGAGATGCAGTTTAGTTAATATACAGAGCAAACCACCCATAATCTAACCTTTCCACGTCCACAAGGAGTGCCGTCCATTGATGGTGTATAGGTTGTGTAGCAACCAACACGGCGATTTCCATTATCACAATACAGAGTACCACATGGATCCTGGCAGGAAATCAAAGATCAAAAAATATTTGCTGCCACAAACAAGCATAAACAAGCAATCACAAATGATGCAGCAAAATCTGTGCTTGTGTCCACACCCGCAGGTTGTTCTGACCAGACTCGCATCCAAGCTTACAATTCAAAAGCCACCGTGCTGTCTCGGGGAAAGTCAGGGAGGGCAATAGAGCAAGACGACCAGAGAAAGATCTCTTCTAGTGTGGGCTGTCCCTATCAAGTTGTGATGTGAGATGGCTACGTTGCTGTGTGAAGCATCCAAGTGCAACACTGTAAAACACTGTAAAAACACTGTAAAAACACTGTAAAAACACTGTAAAAACACTCGGTAAAACACTCGGTAAAATGTAAAATGATTGCAACCTACATGTACTTTAAAAGGTTACAAGAGTCCACTTACCGCTCTTCCATATTCGGTGCGACTGCAATAGAAAGTGCCTGGGAACTGCAGGTCACACTGCTGGTTAAAATCAAACCTGCGTCCTGGCTGATCTACCGGATAGTCGAACTGGCCCAGGGCAGTTGGCACATCTTCGATGCAACTCGAGTCTGGTTTCCTGCGCAACACCAGAGATAGCGATACCGTACAGTACATGCTAGGCAACAACCTAATAAAGAGACCTCGTGTTTTTAGTAGTTTGATCGCCTCCTGCACCAGATCAAATTAACTACAAGAAAACATGTTGAAACTGAAACTGAGCAGCCGCAGACAATAGCTATAGGCTATAGCACAGGCATAGACTTACCACAGGAAGTGATCAAGGTAGCGCTGACTGCACTGTGACCAAGACCACAGGCGCCGTGCCAAAGACACGCTTGACGCCATTAAATAGCCGTCTTCAAAGCGACAGACTTGGAATCCACCATCATGGAACATTCCCAGGCTACATCCACGCATTGGCAGACAGCAAAGGCAGAAACCACACCAGTGTTTTGAGTAAAGAAGATTGCAGCACTGCAAGCAGTCGCAATGATGTATCAGTCTGGAAAGTCATGATGAACACTGCCACGTCAGAGCCTGCATGGTCCACAGAGCCGGTTTCACTTTGATATTCTCCTTTCCTATAACATGTTTCAGCCAGCAAACTTGGCGTACCCTCGGGGTCTCAATCAACAGTCATAAGCCTGCCTGCTATAGGATCACAGTGGTCACACACACACACACACACACACACACACACACACACACACACACACACACACACACACACACACACGCACACACACACACACACACACACACACACACACACACACACACACACGCACACACGCACACGCACACACCCACACACACACACACACGCTCACACACACATACACGCACGCACACACACACACACACACACACACACACACACACACACACGTGTGCGTATGCGAGCGCACATATACGTGTATGTGTGTGAAATGTAAGACTTACTTGTGACCCATTTCATGGGCAAGCACCCAGCCCAGATGCAGGCCAGAGTCACTGTTTATAGAGCAAGACCTAAGTGGGTCACACATGCCTTCAATGTAGGCACGACCTGCAATGAAATCCAAAGAGAGAACAAAAACATGCCGGACGGCGTATCTGCATGCTTGTGAAGATGGCATGCACGGCGTCAGTTTTGACAATCAGGCTGGAAAGCAGCTTCTGAGGGGTGGTACAACCTCAGGGTGGCTACAGGGCCAAATCACTTCCCCATACTTAATTTTAAGAATCATGGGAGGGCACCCCACTAGCTGTGTGCATTGTGATATCTTCTTGTTGTATGTACACATTCAGCTTGTGAATAGAATTTACAACTAGCACAGTGGTCCTCACAGAGGAAGAAGAGCAGATTACGAGGAATAAACTCTAGTGAGAAAAGTGACCCTGACAATAGAATAGTATTTGCCACTCTGCATTGGCCTACAATATCAGAACCAGTCGAGGATGAATCATCTAGATAAGCCGGCAGCAAATGTGCTGCCCAAGTCTGCTGGTAAGGCAATTCACTTGGAAAGGGCACTAGTTACACTGGTTAATCAATAAAATAGCAAACCACTTTGTTGATGAGTTTCTCAGTTTTTACCTAGCTCTCCGCAGTCAGTGTCCCGGTTTGCACACAGTCCACCAATCCTGCACAGGTACAAACAACATTCCAGACAGTCCTGGCCGGTACGGAGAGGTGCTTGAATTACTTTACTCCTCTCTCTCTCTCTCTTTCTCTCTCTCTCTCTCTCTCTCTCTCTCTCTCTCTCTCTTCCGCTTATTTGCTCTACTGCATCTCTGGCACGCAAGGTCTAAATACATGCAGTGCATCCTGACCACAGACGCATGGCTATGTATATATTTGCAGAAATAGAACTAGACAACTAGAGTTAGAAGAGTTAGCCATGCATGGGTTGCAAACAGAACACATCAACATGGTCAGGTCATCGGTGCGAAAGCAATGTGTTCTCCATGTACCCTGTGATCAATGCGGCGTTGTCATGATGATGTTTGTGGTTTGGTGCTGGGTTGATTTCGGTCGCCCACTTGCAGAATCTTTTCAGCGAGTCGACGGAATGTCTGCTGGTTGTTAAATCACTCTGCACACAGAGGGATGAAAAACAACACGCCAAGCAATTCTATTTGGACGGGTGAGTGAATTTGATCAATCAGACAAGTAGCAGAGTGCACATTATCCATATATCTCCAAGACATTTTAAACAGTACACTTGGCCATGAAAATCCAGTCATCACTAGGCCAGCAAATCAAATTATCACTTGAAATGACCAGGATTTGCACTCTTTCCGCATTTCAACGTGACAAGAAGACCAGCACCTTTCCCTTTCACTCTCCGTACACCCATAGTGTAATTGTATAGCAGTGCACTAACTTACACGTGGCTCACTCAGGATGATGAGGCGTACAAGATGTATTGACACGTCGCCAGAGACCAGTTTATCTGGCTGGTAAACCAGTGTAACCTGTGTGAAAGATGATAGGACATAGCAGCCATGGCCTTTGGATCTGCCAATCGAAGACACATAACTGCCTCAAAGCATGATACAATGCAAAACACTTCCATCGAAATGTTCCGCACACCATTCTTCAAGCCGTGTGGCTAAAAAAGAAACTGTAACATTGTCCGTCAAGATGAACTGAGCAAAGCACTTTCAACATGATAAGTTAACTAGGCATGATGATGATATCATGTCATAAGGTTGACGACAGACTGCAAGGACAATGCCCCTGATTGCAACGCCAGTTAGCACAACCCTATATTGTTCATATGGTTCATACAGGCCCAGGACCTGCCAATTGATTTCTGGCTGCAGTCAGGAACACTGTTCCTTAAAGATGTCCCCTCTTTGTCGCATGCTGTCATGATCATGCCTGGTTAACTCACTTGCAAGGCTGCATATGAATAGAATCCATACAGTTAGTACGCTTTCAGCATTACTTAAAAGCAATGCCACTCACAATCATCATTTCGTTCTCAAACTGGTTACATGCAGCATGTGTACTCTAATGTCTTGTAATTACAATACTAACTTACAATGTTCAGGATGGTCAAGAGATACTGCTTCATAAAATTAACATCGCGGTCGTGACGCTCGTAAGAGTAGTGATCCATGACGATCGTCAGCTCCACAAAATGACGTCCAAAGCGGCGACTGCTCGGCCTCAGCGTGTCACCGAGCCGAAGGTGGTCAAAGTTCACATCCATCCACTGTAACGACTCTGACAGTGCACTGGATGCTTCGTCGCTGTCGCCTGGTGTGAAGAAAGCACAGTATTTGCATCTGCAATGTGTACCCAGCGCATAGGCATGTACCTACAATTACAATTATCAGTAATTCATCACCTACGTCTACAGAGTTGCCAATTCTATTGCTCAGTAAACTGTAGCATCTCGAACTATTCCCATCAGTGGATACCTATCATAGAAGCCATGTAATGTGTTGACTATGATGGCTAATGGAACCTGTGTCTCAGTAAGGTACATTGTTGGGGCTTTTCCCGGAATACCACCTAGTACTGCTCCGGGGGGGGGGGGGGGGGGTGCACATCATGATGCACACGAATGTGCATGTAGTGGACCAGCGGGAGTTCTGTGATGAATTCCGCTGAGCCAAGTCTAATCACAGGAGATTTATACCCTAGAGGTGTTGTACCTAGGGTCATCAGTTGTGCTGGTAGGGGACTTTCTGTGCACCACCTACCTTGAACATCACAATGCCCTATTAGGGGTTCAATGGGTGGTGGATCTGCGCTTGCGCTTGCACTTGCACTTGCACTGCTGTTGCCGGTTGACTCCGCTGGTGCTTGCCGTCGAAAGCGAGAAACAGTCTTCAGCAGGTCCATGGAGCGCGGATCCCTGTAAACGATGTGCGTATGCTGTTCAGGGTTGGTGTGATGGCTTAGTAGGTAAGTCGGGAGAGGATGAACATAGAACATGCCACTCGGTACATTGATGGCACCCATCTGCAGCGAAGAAAGAAATGCACAGTCAACGACCACGATGCCGATGTCAGAATTGTGGATTTGTAGAAAATGTCTAGAAATACAAAAAGTTCCAGTCAGGCAAATGAAGAGGCTGCAATGAAAAACCCGCTAAATCCATTTCATCACTTTTCGGAAATGGGCCAAAAAAAATTCTGTGTGATTTGTATCTAATTCCATATTAATTTTGTGTTCTAGTTTTGAAATGGTTCTACAGTCCATTCATAAAAAAATGGGTCCTGGCTCTGGCGAGCTCCCGTATTTGGCGATTTTTCGTGATTTCATCGTACACAGTGCAGTGCTGCGAACTTTGAAATTTGAAAAAGGGTCCAAAAAGGGTGCCTGAACTGGGGTTCGAACCGCAGAATGCACTGTTGCAGGCGGGGTCAAACGGCCTGGATTTTGATGTTTTTTCCCAATTCAGTGCTTTTGGGGCAAAACCTGGCCGAAATCCTATTCTTGCTATGGCTTGCTTTTTGGACAAAAAAACTTCAGAAACATAATTGGAAGAGGATTCGATATGGGATTGCAGAAAAAAATTCTAAAAAAACTCAACGTTTGACCCATTTATGGCCAAAAGCTAGAAGTTCATTTTTTTCTGAATGGACTGTAGTCAGATTTTGAATGGGAAATTTTGCCTGGTGGTACCCCTACTTCAAGCGCATGAAAGCAAGTAAATGAAGGAGAAGTCCCACTAGCACAAGTGGAGTGAACCACTGAATACACTCTGCACGCACGTACCATGCTTCCTCCGCAATGCGTGACAGCCACTTCGGACTGGCGGCCATGCTCATCTACGAAGCCATGGTAGAGGCAGTCCGTCTCCATTGCGTGCGTTTCACTGTTGTTTGCGTCGGCGCCCAGCACTTGTACAGGCAAATGAAGGGCTGCCGCTTCCTTATTCATTTTCAAGTTGAGCAGGTGACGGCTGCCAAACGCATCAAGGTGAAACATGGGGAGGTATTCGTCAGACCCCTCGTCTTCTGATCTCCTGCGCCTGTTGCTGGACAATACGGTAGGAGTTGTGACCTCATAGCCGGGCACTGCAGGACAAAAAACGTTCACGGCAGATCTGAGCAGGTAATATCATTGTATGGCTGGCACCATTGGTATGGTGGGTATGGCCATAGCTGCTGTACCAGTTTTACCAATTCCAGTACTAATGGAACGTTCGGTGTGCCGAATTGATTATGTAGAAGTACGAATCAAGCTATCCCCATACACTCGTCACTGCAGTCCCTCCCTCCTTAAGTACTCTTCTTTTCCAGTGAGAACTCAGTACTGTCCTAGCAGCTACTAGTAGTAACTTTTTTTCCTTGCCCCCCCCCCCCACCCCTCCTATTTTTTCCTGCCTAGAATCCTGTGCAATGTAATTAATTTTCAGGTCAGATCATACATGTACTTCTGGGGCGGGGGTCTGGAGCACCATAAAATACCCTTGATATCCGCAGCACCTTCTGTCCTTCAAATAGCGTATGGAAGGCTGTGGAGTTCAACAAGAATCCTATTCACAAGGAATGCAATTGCACTGGTGACCTTTGCGGGGGAGGGTGCATGTACATTCACCAAACATGGTCAGGATGAATGAAAGGTTGGATCTAGAACGTACTGAGGCATACTCAATCTCCGGACAGCTACCTGTTCTGAAGGCTTGTTATGCATATGCGTGTGTTGCCCTGGGTATGGTTGAATTGGCATCAGGCTACTATCATCATAGACAACCTTATTTTATCCCCTGCGTCCCTAAATTTCCCCTGACAGCAGCATGCCAGTCCACACTGCCCAATCAGTGAAGAGCTCTTGACAGAACACTCAGGGAAATGAGTCGCCTACCCTCCACCACTGGCACCAGTCTACACACTAAGACTATGTCAGGCAACACACACACCGGCCCACTCTCATTATGTAAATCCCAGCCCTGCTTGCAATGCAATCAAAACATTATCAGACCTGATCAGCAGAGACCCTACTCGACTAAACAACCAGGGGTATTATGCTGTGTGCAAATCCCCCCTCCCCCCCCCCCCCCCTCATCTTGTGACAATTCAAAGGATTGGTTTTGTGACCTAGAACTTATCCACGTACAGTAGTTATGTGTTTCCTAGTACAAGTGCTAGTCCGTATGGTAGCATGCATGCAGGTAAAGAATTGGCCATGGGCAGTGGTCGCAGGGCTCAGATCATTGCCCACTCTAGACTGTTGCACGTTCACGGGCCCCACTCTGTCATCAAAACTCTCAGGCATTGCTACTGCCACAGTACAGTACCAACCCTGTCACCTGCAAAATAATTCAGCAATCATGTGTTCTGCATCAAAAACACTGCATGCTGCACCAACATACTGTGTGCTGCTTGTGCATCTCAGTGCATGTGAAAGAATTGGTTGCACTGTTCAGGTTGGCTCGCAGAGCCAGTAGATCATGTTGGCGGTCATGGAGCTTGTCACTTACTGCCAGTGATTTCCTGACAAACATGACATGCCTATAGAAAATGATGGAACCTCACTTCAAGCCCACTTCAAACTGTCTGCATTTATAGAAGAATGCACCTGGATCTGATAAACCAGAGCATTCATGGCTATATAGGCGATGAAGGCAAGCCACTGCTTGATTAGCATGCACCTACTTGTCTTCAGGTACATGTGTCAGCACTGAGATACTGTGCACGTGTCAGTGCTGTGCTACTATTATTGCTTGCCTGCATAGGTTCAAATCCAGGACTTTTCATGCCACTGGTTTAGCCATGAGCTAGCACTACTTGGTGGTAGAGTTCTTATCAGAAACGATTCTGACAAGCCATGGAAGGCTTCGTGCCTCTTGAATCGTATGACCTGTGCCCAGGGGGCCTGATGTCCTTGTCCTTGCCTAAAATTGTCTAGTGGTATGACAAAAGCTTGCTATGATACAGCCGATTATGGAAGTGAAATTGGGGGGAGCTAGGCTTCAGCAATTGAAAATATCGACACGTGCCATGTCACACTAGAGGTTGGTACGCCACCAGTTCACCTGGCATATCATGTTCTCCAGAATCAACTGGGATGGATTCGAGAATGTTCTCTTCTGTCCGTGCCTTGGCACCATGTCACGAAATTGTTTTGAGTAAACTATAATAATTATTGTGCTTCGTGTAGGCAAGTATGATGTGAAGCACCTGTGACGGAGATTTCAGCCAGGCAATACCCTTCTGTTGTTGCTTATGCTCCACACTGCACACTGCTGCATTGTTATGTCCAACATGTCAAGACAGTGAGCAACACCCAGTCTGCCAAGTAGACAACTGAAATCATACTAGTACAAGACAACCCACCAGGTAAACGAACCAACTCCTATGCAGGACATCCCCAAAAACACTATAATCCGCTGACATATGGCGAGTCTGGACGCCCAGGAATTTCATAATAGCTTGGCAGACGGTTGGCTCCGCAGGTCTTATCTGATGTCCGTTTACTGGTGGAAAGTCATGCAAATTCTCTAATTAGGCTGAGAAGAACAATGCTCCTGAAGAGGGCAATGCAGACAGGACAGGAGTGCCAACAAAGCCTTAACCATATCAGTTGATACAGGATGCCCACCACCTGCACTGAGCTGAGCCCTGTGTTTTCTCTCCTCCACTACACATATTCTTGTACATAGAATCGCAACCATGGTAACCAACATGTGCATGTAACCTCACTCCTGGCCCGTTCCTTTTATGACATAGCATTTCCCTCCTTCTAGTTCGCAGTTTAAGCCCATATTCATCCTGCAAGTTTACACTTCAGGTAAGCCAATCTGTCAATTCAATGTACCATCTAAAGCCTGAACAGTTCTGGCAATGCATTCTAGGGGATGATATCATTGAGCAGTGCATGTGTATTCTGTGTGATGGTGACATAACAGGGACTGGAACTAAATGCACGTTTCACATCTGCATCAATTGATCCAGATGACTGTCACTGACTTGGTGCCCTGGAGTTGCTTTCAACAAATGCACAGCATGGCAGACGCAGCCACTTAGTCAAGCAAAATGAGGTCAACACACTCCATCCCCTTGCATCAGGTATTGCCACTGCGGACTGTATCATACTATATCCAAATCCTAAGCAACGAATATTATAATATGATGCACGTTGGCTACCTATTCATGGGATCGGGAAGCAAGGCTTGAATTTTGTGTTGCTGAATTCAAAATGAGTTACATTGTACGACTACTTGTTCTAAAGTGCTGTTCCTAAGGGGTGCTTCTTTAAAAAATTAAGTTTAAATGTGCATTGTTACAATGTGCTTGAACTCTGCATCTGCACTGACCTTCTTCTTGTGGGTCCACTGTGCCGAAGAAGTGTTGCCTATGGGTGTCTGTCATAGCGTGGTGAAGCTTCGTCTTCAAACAGTTATAAGTACAGCACAGAGGGAAAGAGTCAGATGGCTTGGACTTGGCTTAGAATTCCATAGGTGCAGATGTTGGACAGGACACACAGCCCAATGCAAGTGTGAGTGGGATGGGTGTGGTGCATGCACACATGCTCCACCAAGGACTGCTGGAGGAAGGTCACACTTGGACTGGTCACAGTGAAGCAAATTCTTTAGCTGAACTGATGGCTGCTCGCTGAGCTCCAGGGCTGCCAGTACAGACACAAGCTGGAGAGAAAACACAGCGTGCTCCATGCTTTCCCGAAGCAAACCAAGAATGCAGTCATTAGAGAAGAGAGAAAACCACAGAGGTGTCGTGCCTGACGTCTACAGGTCTGCTGCTCGACGAATCGCAAGAACACATCTTGAGCAGGACCACCGAGGAGCAGAATCTACAGGAGGTACTGCACACTGTGGTAGGGAGACGCTGAGTCCAGTCCGGTCAAGATGGCATTGGCCATGGGTTGGTTGGCTAGATACTCTACTTGTGCAGTGCCATTCATACTTGTCACATCAGCCCCCAGAGGATATCACACACTACAACCTGCCTCAGTGTGCCAAGATTATATTATCAGGCACACACCTCCGCACACGTGACCACCCATGTACCAGCATACCCAGTTGTTGTGTTGTTGTGAGAAGCTGAGCAACATTCATTCCATGTACACAAAGTAACCTAGGCAAACATCCTATGATGCCGTATTGTGTTTGTTCAGCCTCATATCCATTCACTGCCAAAACACATCATACTCATTGGTCGTCCGTGCAACCCAAGAAACTAGTCTCCATCAGCCCACGTGTTAGCAGCTAGTTATATTCCCTTGGGCCAATTGGCTGGCAACTAAACGTGATATCACATTCCGTTCACCCCATCACCCATAGCAGAATACCATTCTCCATTCTCCAACAAGCTAGCAATCGCCCTCAGTTGCAGTACAACAATTCACATCACATTGCCAGAAACACAGGCGTGCATTTACTCGACCTGCTCACAGAGACTTTGCTGAGGTTGACAGTGGAGCCCAATCCAACTCAGGTTTCTCAGGTTTCTCAGGTTTTCTAGTAGTTGCAGACAATGGGCAGGACAGAAGACCTACACCAGCACATGCCCATATACAGCACGTCATCTAGCTACTGTCAGAGAATCTAATCTCACTCGGTCAGTGGGGAGCAGGCAGCCTGGTGATCACATGCACTATGGACCTATTCGCAGGCAAGTGATGTGTACATTGTCATGGGCCTGTCAACAAGTGCTGTGCCTGAACAAAAGGTAATGCAGGATACTGTGTACGCAGACAGGACCAATTGAAGATGTCATGCCTTGCCCAGCTGTAGCCAAGAACATGTACAGGTTTTGACAATTGATCCTCCTGTTCTTTGCCCACATTTCATCCACCACATTTGAGCAGAGCATTGGCTGAACAATGCCCTGGCTTCGCAGTGGCCTTGGAGCAGACCAGTCATAAACACGTACTTGTATAGTTGCAAGGATGAACACAATCATTGGTATCAGTGACACGTGAGCTATCTCCTCCTGACACTCTTGTGCTCGGGTCGATGTGGAAGGTCGAGTGAGTGTGCCATGCCAAAGACTAAGTGCTTATCCAGTTATCAATAATGCAAATCCCTCGGGCCGATACCTGGATACCGTGCACTATGACTGCGTTCGCGCACCAACAACGTAAACTAGACTTTTGCGGAGGTGCACTTTCCCAAAAAACCTATCTGGACTGACCATCATCGCACGAAGGAGCACCGCATGATGTAGATCTACATCGTACTGAAAACGTGGGCTCCGAAGGCAATCATGTAAAGCTTGCACTTCTCGCAAATGCTCGCCCAAGCGAAGGTGTCGTGTTCGAACCCAACTGGAAACCATGAAAGGCAAAATACCACTACAACCTTCTACCTCAAACACACCGTGGCACTATCGTATCTGACTGGCTTGCGGGTGTCAGAAGCATACCCGAATACGCAACAATTATGAGCGCCGGTCGTGAAGGTTCCTAACAAGAAAATGCATCCAGCATTCATGCCTACCTCTCGTGGATCCGAGCCAGTGGACGCGAGCACCGATGAAGCGACACCACATGATAAAAGAAAACATGCCCAACGAGCGACAGGCGCCATTGTAGCTTCTAGTGACTGCACACCCACCATAACGGTAAGGTTACTGATTACAAACCAACAAAGCTGCGGCCTCACAATGACCGACCACCTTGAAAATGGGGGAATAAAACAAAGCAATGCAACCAGAGCGAACAGATGGAAGTGAGAAGGACGGTTGCCTTTTCACCTCTATATGCGAAATACGGTGTCGACCGCGGAGTGCTGCTGCTGCTGCTGATGCTGCTCCAGCACAGTGCGTGTTGGCGGGATGCGTGTGTAGCTGAACTGAGGCTATCTTGCTGAAACGCCTGTGAAGTCCGCAGTTTCAGCGTGTGAGGGATTAGCGCGCCGCACGCAGAAAAGAGCTGCGACCATGGGAGACTGCAGTCTGTGGAAACTCGCACCTCGCTCATTTAGATGGTGAGAGCGGGGAGGACGAGAGTCTCGGAGAGAGTGAGCTAAACACAATCAGTGGTGTCTATCGCCACGGGAGCACGAGACCATAGAAAATAATCGGAATGTCACTCAGTCATCATGGTCATAAATGCTGCCAGTAACTAACTAAATCTACTTCATCCCCCCCCCCCCCCCCCTCACCTCGGTGGCTTGCTAGTCCACGGAGACATGGGCATGGAGACGTGCCTGCTAAACAATCTAAAGCCAAAGGCTCGGGCCACCAGAGAGATACGGTGCTATCTCACATCGACTGCTACTTGCTACATGTAGTGCCATATTCGCAACGCATCACTTGCCATCGCAGCATGATCAGCGTGGCGCGAGATCCTTGCTGCTCGAGGCTCGGGAGACGTGTGAAATGAGGGCTACATACCAAGCTGGCAATGAGAGTGTCAACGTCGCGCAGGCCGATTTGCGCGTGCGAGCCTGCGATTTCAGCACAAGTGAGATCTGGTCCGGAGTGGCGCCGGGTCAACGCCCTGTGGTGTAAGAAAAATTCTTTCTCTGCTCTCCTTCTTCTCTCTTCCTTTTACCTCTCTCGCTAACTGGCCTTATCCCAGTCACAAACGCTCGTGCCCTTCGCGTCAGTTCATCACATAAAATCAAGCCGTGTCAACTATGTTGTGATCTACAGAGACGCCATGCACAACTTGTAGCAGAACCATTGGCCGCAAATTCACAATATTTAGGATTTCTCCTTTTAGTTTTACCATCAGTCATCAGATCTATGTTACATAATCATTGCGTAGCCCGCTCTATTTCAAGTCAATACCCGTGAACATCAAAAAAAAAAGAGGAAGATTGAACACCTGTATTGCTGAATCTCCTGCTGCAGAGTACTGTGACGCTAGCCTACTCCCTATTCTAGAACACCTCTAAAACAGTTGAAAGGGGCAGTGTCATTAACCAGGACACTGCTCCTTTCCTCCCTCTCTCCCCTGCCACCCCAGGCAAAACAAAAGCAGTGGAGCGACATGCAGGCACGATCAATGTACAGTAATGAATGCAAACAGAGAGATGAAACATGAAAGCACCTGCCTCTTGCAGCCCCCTCTCACATGTCCCATCCTCAACTTCCCAGTTCGATCTAGGGTATAGGAGTTTTCCCGGATACTCTCGATCGTCATACCTACGATGGTTGACACAGTTTGTCAGCTTTGCGGTTCGCAGTGGATGCTTCAAATGACATACGCTCGTCCCTAACGAGCTGCCTATCACTTCGTGTATGTTGCCCACCCACAGATGTGTTCGAATACTTAGTAATAGCACTGAGGCTTCACCTGTAGAGGGTAGTTCATAATACGACCTAGACGTTCATACCTACAAGTATTGAAAGCATGAGGTGGTATGTTTGGAGCATGTGGGCTATATTGGGAGGTTCTGCCCGTCCAAAAGTGGAGGCTGGAGATGTCATGTTCACCTACATCTACAATGTAAATCATGCGTAAATGCAGGTGGTGACCAGCATATTTCAAGCCATGACGTCTAGATTGAGCGAAGCTAGCTTCAGTGCAGACCTGCAACAGTGACTTGGCCAGTGGATGTGAGTGAATGATGTCCCGCAGCAATATTCAATACGCGACCTGTCTTGCCAATTGCTTACTGTTCTGTCACCTGCATGCTGCTGTAGACCTGGTGTCTGCGTGTGCTGCCATTCTCCCTTTCTCTCTCTCTAGCTCTACATACCACTGGACCGTGTTAAAGATAGATAGGTTATGCTCTCTTTCAATCGCGAGTACACAGCCACACTTCAAAACGTCATGCTCTTAGTCAGACCCTCAAATCGCTCAATGCTATTATGTAGTTGTCAGATGTACATGTCCCAGGAGGCTTCATCAAGCCACGCTCGTTCCAGACCCAGAGACCTAGGATGGTTGCACGTAGGCTGTAGTTGGCAGAGGCAAAAAAGGATGCATCTGGCAGAGCCCGTTCCGGAAGGGTGCCAGGCGTCTTGAAAACTTCGTATGGTCATGATGGCATGACCGCAGATCAACAGCATATCATGCTGTACCCCATAGTGTACTGTAACGCTAGTGTAAGGGCATTACCATGATCCATGATCCATGGCCACTAAAGGCTAGTGGCAGTGCAGCTTTTGTTTTCTGCACGCAGACCAACACATTGTGTTTTGCTCCCTGATCGCCGGGGGCATCCTGCCGCCATTCATGCTGCGATTGATTGCTAGAGCCATCCGTAACAAGTAACGTTGTGGAATTTTATTCAAATCATGCCAACGTGGGATATCACGGGATATCACTGTGAAACAGATGGAGATGTTTGAGCGCACGACGAGTCTAATTTCAGCTCAGGATACGTAATTCTGCATGTTAGCACTTCTCCGCTATCCCTAGGCGCTAGCCTCTGTCTCCTGGTCATGAAGTTCGAAGCGCGTTTGTACTACACTACAGTTGTCCCGGTTTTCATCGCTGGGAACACATTCTGCTCAACACTCTAAACTGAACACGAGTGGAGCCAAAACACTCCGAGTGTTGCTTGCACTTACATTCTTTTCATGACTGTTCTGGGACCACTAATATCGACATTAGTAATAGAATGTACTTCCGTTCAGTACTAGGTCTCGATGGACGTTGGCCGTTATTCCATATCATCGTGTCACCAAATACGGAGTGGGACTCAGGTGAGAACCACTTGCAATGTATCAGTTACCCTCACTCAATCCGTTGCTCCTTCCCACACTCAACATGATTATTATTCTGTACAATGTAGATATACTACCTACATCAAACACTGATGAGAGGCACAACGATTTGAGAAATTGTTGGCACCCGTTTCTGGTTACGAGTATCCTCTAAAGGATTCGCATGATTTACATGAACGGGTGCGTGCCCTTGGTGAACACTGGTGACCAAGGTCAACATGGTCAACAAAGCCATTCCAGTAGAGCAAGCATTACGTAGCTTTAATAGCGTGAGTGTGTCGGATGTTGTCCCGGTACAGTTCCGACGCCTGCTTCTTCAAGGGCTAAAATACGATCAAAGGACCAACGCCTATCATTCAATAACAATTCATACGGCACTGGCACTGGGTGCCTTGACCCGGGTTATTTCTGCCAACGAGTATGTTAGTGATCTACATACTCACTCAATGTACGGGTAATTACTTCCTCTGGCAAGTACTTGCGCGACACTTCAAAACCATTAGACTGATTATTGATTTGTGTTCCTCGTGAAAAATACAAACCAGATGCACTCTTTCGAGGGCTTTCCTTTGCCGTCTACATCCCGCCTGTTTCCCTACAATGTTGCATTCAGAACGGACTCGTAGGAACGAGAAGAAAATACGTTCACCTTCCTTCATTGGATAGATAATTATAATGTTGATAGGTCTAAAGTCACAATACAGATCACGTTTGGAACACTGCAGTGCTTGCTAACATAGTAATAAGATCGAAGTGCCTGAGCCCTCTGACCCATACCAATCTGCAACCGGGCAACACTTGGACGACTGGCGCAGCGAAGCAAGGCCAAACGGTTGACACAGGAACGTTGTGGACTGGATGAGACAAATTCTTTTCACTCCTGACCGTGGTACGGTCGTGTTGGGGGAGGGGGCTAAAATGATTAAGTGGTACTGTATCAAGACTCAAGAGCATCTGGCCGCGGAGCCAAGAGTAGGGGTGTGCGGATAATGCTCGAAAAGGTGGCAGATTCTGCTCGAAAAGCAGTGAAATTGGCAGAACCATACAAACCTTATGGCGGGCAATTCCTCGAATTCTGCTCCATTTCTTTATCCACATACCAAACATGCATGAAACTTACCAGAAAAAGTACCGAATTCTGCCAATTTTTCTGCCGGCATTATCCGCATATGCCAGAGTGCATAACACCCTGGTCCCAGTACATACCGTCGCACACGCAAAATAGGCACCGAGGTTCCCCCACAACAGGGCCCTCACCCTTTACACCTCACTCCCCATCGACACCACAACACCAACTAGGGCCTCGTGGAAACTCTTTCCGACACATCCAGTCTCCCCCAATGCTGTAGACAGCAAGCTACTTCGGCCATCTAGGCCTCATCAGTACAGCTAGCTAAGAGCCTTTTAGAAGTATTAACTAAAGCCAAACTACCGGCCATGGTGCAAGTAGGGAGCGATGCATAATGCGGTAATGCAGCAGCACTAAAGCAGCCTACCGAGATCGCGAGAGTGCTCAACAAGACGCCCAGTCTTCTTTTGAGCAGTACATGTACATGTACATGTTTCTGCTCCGCGCACCCTCCTGCCGGTCCTGGTTTCTGATATCTCCAAAGTGTCACAAGCATTTAATTAACTATCTCGATCACACCTGGTGCTGTACCGGCATGTTCTTCATCATCCATTGTTAATTGTCTCCCCGGGTTAATTCCCATCTACATCTACTTGTAGCTGTTTCTGACTAGTATCAGTACCATCATACTTATCAATCTTCCTTATTGGCCTCTCGCCATCGTGGAATAAAAGGGTAATACATTACATGTACTAATAATATCATTAACTTGAATGGTTAAAGCCGTCCGGACGGGTGTGACGGACAAACAGTGTCCAACTAGCATGACTCTATAGTATCCGGAGTCTCTATCATGCCTTGCTCTCTCTCTCTCTCTGGCACGGTTGCCTGTGGTCTCTACACGGCAGGTGGGCACAGCTTTCCCGTGCGTCCTGTGATACGCCCAAGAAACCAAGACAGTGTTTACAGATCATGTGCCCATGATTCAACCCGTAACCCCACCAAACCCCCAAAACCATAATTATAGACATTGATGGTAGAAATTTCAATTCGTGCAGGCTATTGTCACATTCTTCCCTTTTTTCTTTTTCTTCTTTTTTAATACAAAGGGAATCAGACAGTGTGGTTAATTTGGGACAAGTGATACATGTATACACATTCAATTACCGAGTCATGCACTTTCAGAGGGAATTTGGAGGATATGACTTTATGTCTTGGGTGCTCAGTACGGAGGCAAAGCAACCTTCGGCTCACTCACACAGCTAGTACAATTCAAAAAGAGAATTTATTGCACGCTTTCTCCTCGGCGCAATGTAACTTCAAGACCATTTTGTAAATGACATAAATATTGGAGGCACCCTGATATAGTCGCTGATAGTATAGGAGTGGCAGTTGCACTAGTGTTACTGAAGATTGATATCACTAGATATATGGCAGCAGAATCAGGGCAGCTGGCCAGGGCCAAAATACAAGAAAGGCTGCATCGTCTCAACAGAATTAGATAGTGATAGCTCTACGCGATATTGAACGACGGCATCAGAATCAGTCATGCCTATACAAATAGTCAGATAGGGCGTCATAAACATATCTGCTTTTGAATCAACATTATAGTGATGTGCTCAAAGGTGCCCGAGGGTTATACGCCTAGGGATAGATAGGTAAGATATCAAGATAATTCCAGTACACAGCACACATGTGGGACGCATCACTTACCGGTATGCTCTACCCGTTTGTGCACCTGGCATTTTTGTTCAGCATGTTCTGTGTTACTCAGAGACATGCAACAATGTTTCAGGAAACCGAATGCCATCACGTACAGTTATGTAACGTGTAGACAGGGGTACGTGGACGCACGAGTTCAAGTTCGTGTTAAGCGCATCTTGACACAAACCGTGCAACTAACTTGTGTGACGTATTGCAATGTGTAGGCAGCTGCAACCATCCATGTTCACGGTGAGTGAAACTTGATCTCTCTATTGTTGATGAAGCCCGTGTGAATTGGCCGCGTTGTTGGCTGGCTGATGTGCGTTAGAGCTGACCGAGAAGTAGCCATTCGAGCTCCACGTTGATTGTCTCTGAAAAAGCAGAGCAGCAAAGGCAAGAATTGAGACTTGCAAGAGAGAATATACTATGTTTCACAGTGCAGATGAGTAGTATTGAGTAGTGGACAAGTCACAACAGTCCCACAAACTAATACTGGATGGCCTTGCAAGATCTGCCTTTTGGCCAAGCCTCATCGGTAGGTACTTGCAAGAATGTACCTGGCAAACGGTATGTGCAACCTTAATTGTAGCTACATAACAGGCTAAAATTACGTTGCTGATATAATATCACAACTAGGTTACATTGTGCCCCTTACATACCTATACAATCATGTGACTTGAAAGAGTGGTTAATGCATTGCTACCGACACAATTCACTCCAATACTATACTACCGTATTATCTCTATTATAAGCACGGTCCTCTATTTTTTCAATGTACCTGCACCCCGTGCTATTAATGGAGACGTTCCTTTATTGGAGACTGTTCCATTATTATTTCAACCTCATTTCAGAGGCATGTTGCCATGCCAAATTCATGTCAGACACACACATTTCAGGTTTTTTTCCGCCGGTACAGATAATGAATTTACACAGTGTGCTTATAATGGAGACTGAGCACTTTATTTTTTGAATGCCACCCCAAGGTGTTCTATTATTGGAGACGTGCTATTATTGGAGACTGTGCTTATATTAGAGATAATACGGTATATGGGCCACTCTTCACCAACTTGGTTGTCTAGTCAAATCGCCTGCAGCATCAGTGGTTCTCTGTTTATGACAGATTGCCCTCTGAATCATTCTGATTCTGATTCTGACATGTGTGACTTGTAGGTTCACGGGAGGACCAACATTACGGCAGGACTAGACCACCAGCACAATTGACATGGCTATGTGCATGTACAGGAGGTGTACAGGGCGAATGATTGCAAAGCACCGAACGTACTGTTGAACGCATCCATTTTGACCAGAAAAATGTGTATGGATGATGACATCACAGCGACACTGTGTACGTGATCAAGATGATCAAGAATGATGGTTTGCCCTCCTCTACAATGCCACGGGGCAGGAATGTCAGGTTTCCAGTCATGTTTGACAAGTTCTTGTGGAATGCTCTTTGTAAATATAGTCATGACGGCTGCTGACCTAAACAAAGATAGCACAGGCATGAGTGACAGTGACAGGGTCTCACGTCCTTACCGTTTTTGTTCTGGCGCTCAACTGGACACGATAGCGTCTGCCGGGAAGAAAGCGAGTGTCACGCGTAAGGTCCAAACGAATGAGAAGGTAACCATTCTCAGCCGAGTCTATCTCGCTAGCAAAGAACTTGTGAATGGTGATGTCGACGTGCGAGGGGCACTGCAGGTCACCCGTCGACTCGTTGTCCTCCAGACTGTTGACAATGTCACGTTCATCACACCTGGCACGCAGCGAGTACCGCCTGTCAGAGTTTCAGCAAGGTACATGAATACGCCGAGCACAATGGTGTCAGCCACAGAGGAAATAATACTAATGAACTCTAGACACAGCATACTAGGACAACTGCAGTTCTGGCCAGAGAAATTCAACCCCATGAATACAGCAGCACCGCGTTCGAGTGGAATGAATTAAATAGTGTGTGTGTGTGGTGCTAGGGTCGGGTAGAGCCCGGCGCACTCATACTCATAAGGTCGAATTCACTGGCCAGGGCTTTGATAGTCAACATGTCAACACAACGATTTAACTGCAGAACTGAGAGAACAGGGCGTAATCGACAGGGAGTTGCAGTCCACCATGACTGCATTACGCGTGTACTTCAAAAATGAAGGATGGCACTAAAGCAATTCTAACTGTAGATTGCCTTGAACTGCTCAACTACTATGCCCAAATGACGAAACAATTATGTTGTGTGGGGGGCCACAAGTTCTTATTAGTGGTTCCAGGTGTGGGAAACGTAGACCTGTCAGAATAGATGCCTCCCACGAACATCACCAGTATACCAGGGCGTAGCTCTTATGGTCATTGACATTGGATCCTAAAACTCACCACACAAAGGGGTGTACATCCGGAGATGCATGCAGATAGATCAGTACTTGCGAGCCGTTCATTCTAATGACCGGTGCAGGTGGTGCCCTTGGGCCTGAAAGCAGATAAACAGCACACACCAGCGTAAAACCTCTGACACTGATGAGCACTAGCTAGTGCATCAAGTGATCTCATTCTACACACATCAGTACACACAGTGACTGTCACGACAACCGGATCACGACTGGAATGGAGACTGAAGAGAAAGACAGCCTACGGAGAAACATGTCATGTGATTGACACATCCCAGGATCGCCCTTCGAACTATGCCACAATGTGTTTAAAAAAAATGTTGCTCACTACACCTCATTGCTGTTCAGCCAATGACTCAGAGCTTCACTGATGAGACCTAGCAAGGTCGAAACAGCTAGCTATCTGGTGGGGAAATACACCATAATTAATTATGTGTCTGTGACTTGGGTAATCGGAGTACAAAACCTCAGCTACATTCATTGCTATACATGTATGCACAGGGCACAGTGCATTGCAGAGTGTTTAACCGTTGGAAACAACAGGAGCCCCGTGCATAGTTCATAATTGTCATGATTCGATCCTAATCTGGCCATGGGTTGTGAGGAGATAATAAGTCACCAGTGAGTGGATGTTGTTCTGGTCCAACTGTATGGGAGGCATAGAGATTGAATATTTCCAAATCAAATCAAGTTGTGGCTAATCTACTGTCGATTTAACTGAAAGGTGTCGTAACGTAAGTTGGGATGGGACTTCGACTATGCATGTGATCTAAGCACTGAGAAATGGTGGATATATGATACGGCCAGAAAAACACACAGGGCAGGCAATTACCAAGCGAACTGAACTTACGGAGAATCGGCGACTTGAGCGTGAACACTTTGGTTTCAGGTCGACTAAGACCTGCGCCTGCAATGCTAGCCACGCTGACCGTGTACTCGGTGTAAGGCTGAAGATCGCCCAGCGCTATGCTGCTTGATGTTGTGGAGATATTGCCATGGGACACGTATGGTGCTGCAACCGCCGACATCGTACTGTATAACACCTGCAGCAGAGAGACATGTACCGTGGAAACAACAACTTTAGATCAGCTTGATTCAATCCTGGAACCAGGAATGCCCGAAGCGCAGATGCTAGTAAGCGGCTGCATGAAAGATTCCTCCCCTTGAGCATTAGATTGATCGCCTCATTTCCAATTGGACTTTTTATCATACCAGTATTTAGTTTCTCATGTGGTGGAACAATGAGGTCGCTCATCCATGTCTCCTGGGCACTTACTCTGTAGCCGGTCAAGCCAGTGGTGTCCAGAGGTGGGGACCAAGAGACGCGTGTCACGGCGGTGCTCCGTGATCGATCTAACTCGGATCTAGTGATAAGGCCTGAAGGTGCTGGGATTTCTGAGAGAACAGAGCAAAGCAAGGAAGAAGAAAATCAATACTGCCTTAAAAGTACTGTGCTATCACTTGCAAGTCCTGCTGCAGTTGTGGCCTGTGGAAATTCGGACATTCTAATGTCCGGACTGATATTATACTGAGACAAAGACATTGATAATGGAAAAGTCGACTAGGACATAAATGTCTTTGTCCCAATACCCAGATAGGACATTCCAAGCAGCATACCCTGTGCAGCATTTGTCGAGTAATAATTTAAGATCTTGACATGTAGAAGTGTTGTATCATGCCTGTCATGATTGTCTGAAGCTATTGTCTGTGTTGCGGTTGACTTCACTCTTTAGTATTATTGACTGGCTTTTCATACAATACCTATTGATGTGAAGCACAGGGGTCTGTATATCACCAGCACTCTGTTACTGTAAGCCTCTAACCCAGACTGTACCACTTACCTCGTGCCAAAGTATCTGCCGGCAACCAATCCGTTGCCCGACTTTCATACGTGCGGTTGTACACGGACAACACACGGAACTGGTATACGCTGCCTGGCTGCAGGCCATCAGCTGTCCACAGAATGGTCCCGTTTGCCGGCTTCCCTGGCAGCACCTGGACTGACAATACACGAGAGCTGGCATCCCGTTTGAATTGAACTGTGTACCAAGAGAGGTCTGCTGTTAAACGCGGAAGCGGTCGCCACTGTAAGGAGATACTGACAGCCGTCCTGTTCGTGATGGTCAAGCGCTTGGGACTTGGCGGAGCTGTTCACAGAAAATCGAATCATAACCATAAAAGATAAGTTACAGAAGAAACCCTTAAGGGTGCAGGCATAACAATCATCCTGTAGCTAAAAATAGATCTATACAGTTTGATAATGACATTATGTACACTATCTGGACACTGCTTAAACAGTATAGCTATATATGAACGCATTGACCTTGCCGTGAAGGAAAACCCAGAGGTTACAACTATCATACCTTGACAGAAGTACGACCGTAGTTGATCAATGCCAAGCCATGTGCCATTCTCGTCACAAGTAATGGACTGAGACAGCGTAACAGCACTGCCGTTAGAGTGCGAACTGGCGGAGCAACGCAGTGTAACTCTACTGTCACTTGGAAAAGTTGTCTGAGACTTGTCCAGGACAGCAATGCCATTGGGTAGCTCTGGCATGGCACAAGTTACCACTGCACAATAACAGCAGCAACAGCAGCAGCAGATTCAACATTAGCAACATTAGCAATAAACATCGAAGAAAGATGGTTTAAAAACCCATCTGCGCCAGTTCATCTGTCAGTTCATTTGTCCAAACAAGACAGGATGAGTTTCATACCTCACAACGCACAACACACTTCCAAAGTATCTCGTCAATCAATAGCCATACATGCAATATCACACGGATACCACACAAGAACGCAGATGAGGGGTTATATTCGTAGTTGGGAGCTATTTGTAACACATCGCCATGCCATCATTTTTGAAATACTCATAATTGCTCATTGCGTCAGGCTTACCAATTGTGAGAGTATTGACACTTTTCCAAGCCGTTGGTCTACTATTGTATTTGGACATGTACACGGCCCAGACGTTGAAGAGATACTGCGTGTCCGGCTCCAAAGCACGCACATGAGCCGTCACCGGCCCACTTGCCGGGCCGCGGACGTGCTGCATACTCTCCACGGGATCGGTAGCACTGTCGCTGCCCCGTATGTGATTGAGGACGTAGTAGGAAACGTCTGCCGGGTCGCTGGCAGGTGGGTACCACTGTAGCGAGACAGTGTTTGTCGTCTTATTGGTGATCGTCAGGCCAAGTGGTCCAGGCACGCCTGACAGGAGCAATACAAGAAACCATACGGGTCAGTACATCAACAGAAATAGTAACGCATGTACATGTATTTGCAGTGAAACAACTTTGTTATAAAACTTACTTCATTCTGTCCCCAGTGTGTGTGTACGGCTCCACATGTTGTGCATCGAGCACTATGGCGGTGACCATGTATATCCGTGTGTGCTTACAATGGTCATGAGTACCACTACTAGTAGTTGTGTTACATGTACTTCAATCAAATACATACGGGAGAACCTCTCCTCTAAACAACGGAAGCCTCCGCAATCAAGGCATATGTGTTCCATCCCAACTTGTTCCGAATCAGGTTGTAAATGCATTTGGTAATCAGGAAAATTCGGAAATCATGTCCGGTAATCAGGAAAGACATACTTGAAGTAATAATTATATTATCTGGTCCCACAGCATCTAACAATACGACACTGCACTGTACTGATGTAGACAGTTAACATTGAACATGGAAATCTGTCATGTGACATACTTTTACACATGTATGCACGCAGACTATCAAGTCCACGCCAGCTTCCCGTCGAATCACAGAAGAAGTTTCCCTTTGGTGCCACCGTTGGGGAGGATCCAGTGCAGCCCACTGGCAGCCCTTCGCCACAGGTATACGTTGAGCGAGCATCGCCTATGATGGAGAAACCCAATGGCAGCTCTGGACGACGACAAGTGATTGCTAAAACACACACACACACGCACACACAAAGAGAAAACAAAGTTTTAGCTTTCTCATTAATCAACAGGTCATGAATGTTTGCAAGGTAAGAACCAGGGAATTTTAGCTCCAGCACTGACGGTTTTGAAACTATGTTATAAAATAAAAAGTAGCATGTGACTGCAGGGTACCACTGAGTTGTCCTACCCAAATATATCAAAGAGAGTAGCCTACTGTGGCGGCCATTCCTATTGTGTTTCAAGACTCACCTTCGCATCTGACATTTGGTGCCGTGTAGTTGGCCGGGTTGATACAGCTGTGAGCACTCTGTCCGACCAGTCTGTAGCACTCCTTGCAGTAGAACTGGGCAACGTCACCTTCGCAGAACGTGTTTCCAATCTGACGGCTGCCGTGCAGTGGCGCAGCCGGCAGAGGACAGCAGGTAGGCGGCGGAACATTCGTGCTGTCAGCTAACAACGGAAAGCAAACACAGCAACAAAACATAGTGATACTTGAACATTTGAGACAGTATAGGTTCTTAATTGTGAACAATTGGCAAACCCTACTGTGAAACGAATCCCTTGTTGTAATGTCGGGGGTTCTGCTGCAAAGCAAAATGCACATGAGCATGTGTGATTATTAAAAAGAATATCTTGAAGCACTATCCAGCCACCACTATTCCAGCCTCAACAAATAAATTCACAGCACGGATGAGAGAGAAAAGGGCAGGTTCTTACGCTTGCAGCTGAGCTTCTTCAGGTACTGCCAATTGCGATTGCGCTTGCACTTGATGTAGCGGCCCTTCTTGAGTTTGGAGCCATTCTTCTTGCTCACCATGAGGTAGCCATCGTCACACACGACTTTCACCTGCTCTCCCCGTGCGTACGATCGGATTTCTGTCCCGGCCTTGAAGTACATGTTAGCCTTGAGCCGTGGGATTTCACAAAGGAGTTCTGCCGTGTGAACAGTGAGCACACAGTGAACAAAATAGTGGAGACTCTAGCAAATAAAGGGATCGAGGTGGCTGTACTGCCAATACGTTACATTGACTGTTCTAATGTCACCAGATGCACGACAATCCATTGCGACGTGACTAGAATCAGCCTATTACCCAGCTTCAAGTCAACTTTCAATACATACTCAACTGTCTCTTTGCTGCAAAAAAACCTCCTTTTCCGTACCGAAAATTCCTGATTATTGATTGGTTTTTTGATTGATTTTTATTTCACGGATCCTCCAGAGGCAAATAGATGCCTATCGAAGGGAGTCTCCTAAGTAAGTATGGAAAATGAGAAAGTATGTTCGTAAGGGAGAAGAGGTAGAAGATACATTAGATTATAGAGTACAAAAGAAGTAAATTCAGTACTTCGGGTAGTACATTGCATGCTAATGGGCCAAGCCTGAAAATTTGATGAAGACTGGAAGGATGTTTTTCGCAGATGATGGACCATTGAGTAAGGTGGTTACGTTGAGTGAAGTCCTTGCAAGACAAAAATGGCCTACTTCAGTAATTGATCAAGAAGAGGGGAAAGTTCCAGGAAGCATGTCCGTACTCCACAGCATGGTGGAATTTGGATGAAGTGGCAATTCACTTGGTATCATTCTCGCATTGTGCAAGCTACAAACACTGGCCGTGAAATATGTCCTTAGTAAGGGCAGCTCCTAGAATGCAACATGCAACAGGGCCTTTCTAAGTCTTACCATTGCAAGTTGGCATGTCGTGTGACCACTTCTGAGTACTGCCATCACAATGCAGCACCGAGGGACCAGAGAGCTGATGGCCGGAGTTGCACGTCACCCGAACCTCGCCAGGATGACCGGTCACAACAATACGACCGTGCGCCGGCGGCAATAGCTGCTTGCAGTGCCTGCCACGTCCTGAGAAATAGACAACATAGCGCGACGCAGAAATGAACTGTTATCAGTAGCACCAGTTGCCGTACAGTGAAACACACTTTCAGAACACGGGTTTGGTTGATGGCAAAACGTGTCCTGCAAAAGACATGATTGTGTTCCAGTTTGAATTTCTTATAACATTAGCCCACTATTCGTCTTACGCGAGTTCGTGTGAAGTGGGTTGCACTGGCTTTTCCGGGGTCAGAACTGCATATTTTTCATCATGCCTTAGGGGCCATCCGGAATTATTCCGGCATTATCCATAATTTTCACAAAACGAACAAGTTTAGTTATGATTGACCCCCTCCCCCTGCAACACACTTTACCCATAAATTATCTCATGGCTATAATTATTATCAATAATCATGTCTCTTTCCCTCAAACCAGTTTTAAAATAATCATGTGCACATCTAATTTGAAAAAAGTGATAATGTCCCCGCAGCACAGTTCAAGTGATAATGTCCCCGCAGCACAGTTCAAACAGTACTCCAGCTCACCTAACGCTTGCGTCGTATCCAGGAAGCATGTCCGTACTCCACAGTTGCTTGCACAGTCGCACACATGACCTACATCGCCACAGTCCGACGACCGACAGCATTTCCGTGTCTTTATGTCAGCACAGCCCAAGCCGGATATCTGACCAAGGCCTGATAGTCGTTGATGCTCAGCTTTGCACGTTGCTTCGCTATGTTTCGTCAACGCCCGCAGCAATATGCCTCCAGCTGAGTGCACCAAAAACGCAAATGCAGAAGCACAGAAAAAAACACCAACCCGCAAATAGTTAGTTTTCAGAGAAACGACTGCATGCCACGCGTAGTCTACACGTGAATACTACTGTCGTGGACATGGAAATCCGGTCGATTGACCGGGGCCGAAGCCCTCAGCGCGTGCGTGCAGGGGCACTTGTTGATCCGATGCGACTAGCGCGCTGCAGCGCATAAAATGCATGTGTGTGTACCGCTTATCCACGGCTGCATGGCCAGCACCCTGGGGCCGCTAGGACCGGATTTCCATGTCCACAACAGTACTACTACTAGTACTAGTAGGTCTACTACTTGTAGATCTACTAGCGGCTGCTTTGCTCGAAATGCCAGGTAAGGAACCAGTACCTACGTCATTGTGCGGGATGTAGGCCGGCCCGCCCATACTGGGCCATAGGCATAGGCTAGCCTAGGCTAACGCATGCCATGAAGCTGGATATGCTTGAGCAATGGGATGATGGGAGGAGCCGGACTCGGAGGACATTACCATGATTACGCCAAGGAGATCAAATGCGATCCGTGAAGATTATGCATTACAAAAATAGTAAGCAGTTCACGTGACTACATGTACTTATGAAACGCTGTCACCATGGTCACACCTGCGGCTTCCATTCTGATCCTATCAGTATCATCGCGCGTTTAGACTTTAGTTAGTTCCTCCACGAATGCATAAGTCTGTATTTAGAATGTAGATCCACATGACTGTAATGCTCTTTTCTTGGCTCCTCTTACTACTACACGTACAAAAAAAAGGAAGTTTTAGTCCCAGTCTGTCCAACCTTGCCACCGTTCCAAAGCAGGACATCTACCGGTATAAAAAGGCAATTGTCTCCCATGTAAATGTGCACAAATGTTTTGGTCCAAAGCAGGACGGTTGGACAGTCTGTAATCCGTATCCAGTGTGACAAAACTCTCCTCTCCACGTTTAGTCATCGGTGCAAGCACCGGTAGATAGTATACCGGCGGTAGGCGGGATGCGAACGACGGTCTAAGCACTAGAAGTTCAGTGAACTGTGATCAATAATAGCGGCTAGCGGTGCTGCGCAGGGCAGCAATGCTCATATTGCCTTGCTCACCTGTACCTCATTATCGTACCGGTGCCAAGCCCAAGGCTTTCGTGTACTGATACAATGCTGAATGCAGGGGAGTGGGGAGTCCACCGCTAATACTTGCGAGATGTAATTACCTGTGTACCTGGCGTACCGTCGGTCCTGTACATGTAAATTGAGTTACGGCTACAATGCATACCCCAAGTAGACCTATGTCACAGTATGTGGCACGCACGTCAGCAAGCCGGCACTACAAATCACAATAGGGAGCATGCCACTGGTGCTACGCAACTGAGTCACACTGGAACAGTGGAACACTGGAACAGTGATGGAATCCCATTGTTTATCGCTCAAACAGCAATGTCATGCACACGATCCGTGAGTAGTTTCCCATTCTGCTCATTAAACGACGTCGCTACTAGCGCTAGCAGCACTGCACACTCACTCTCTGAGGCATCACGGAAGCATGAAATTGCAATGTTCCAATTTCTTCAACGTCGTCCTTATCAGTTTTGAGCCCAGTTCAGGTGAGAGTTAGTGAGACCAGACCACCTCCTGCTCGCTGCTACTGCTACATTGTGTAGCTAGGCACAATAGTATTTCTCCAATGCTGTCATCGTCGCACTGTCCTAGACGTTGCGACTTCATCGTGAAGATCCCCCCCCCCATCCTAGCTACTGGTCAAGGAATATAATTATTATTGTTAGGCCCATGGCGGGGTAGATTATGAAGGAGTAGCAGTTGAAGTAGCAGTTGAACTGTTCATGTAGTGTTATAGTATGTACAGGATGCTTGCCAAGTTGCCACATCGAACACAAGTGCCATTGGAATTCATTACTGCTCTTGTAATGTTATAGTTGAGCTGTGACTACACTTGTGTAGGTTGTAAGCCTGTCCCTTCCATCACTAGCTGTACCACATTAAATGCAGCAATGCATTATCCATCATTAAAATTAAAGTCACAAAAGAGAATGTGCATCAGCGCAGCCAGTGTGAGGAAGGTTCTTGCTCTCCAGGACTCACAACTACGTACTACTAGTACATGTGCTAGTCGCAATGGGACGAATTTTGTTGCCCCGGGTAGATCTTCGCCGACTTCGGTACTGCTGTAATCCCAGTGAGCAGTCCCGATAGTGGTCGAATGCCACCTGTTGCATGCTGCTACCAGGTGCTATGATCATGCAGTTAAAAGTGCTGCAGTGGGGCTGTCATTACACACATCCTCCCGCATGACCACAGCTCACAGGCTGCAGGCGCTCGTGACCCAGGCAGACATGACTGTACAACCGCAGGATTTACCACCGGACGCTCGACGGAGTAGAAACAAGATCTATCGTCAAGGCACTTCAACATTCGCCCCCAGACAATAGGAAAACTTTAAAAACATTTAACTGAGCGAACATTTCTGATGAAACGATCTACTGTAGTGTCTCTCTCTTACGCATTGTGGAGCAATCCCGAACTTGTCCTCTGGATACCGGCAGAGACAATAGCAGCAGCAACAGGTAGATAGTCGCATAGAATAGACTTCGTCCGACATGTCGTGCTGATCTCTGCAGTGACCGTGTTCTTCTGCACAACCTCGTCTGTATTCCACTGCAGCAGCAGCAGCGTTGTCTGCACACGCTAGCTGGAGGTGCCATCATGAGACGGGGCTAAGGAGACAGTCGACAGTCGGACACCACCAAGACGCAAGCGCCTGCACAGCAAATTGCCCACCGAAACGAACACACAGCACAACCATACAATTATTTTTCATATTGGGCGCACTTTCTCAAAGGTGATTAGACAACTACTTGGCAGAGGTGAGAAGGAGAGTGCAGCACTCCATAGACTAGACGGACGGTGCATAAATTCGATGCTATCGTTTTAGAGAGGTCTTGCCTCTTGGTGCACGGCCATAGCATCACTACGAACATTAGCGCGATGTACCCCATGGCCCAGTACACTGTACCCGTGCACAAGATGGGATCTAGTCGGAGGTTAGCACTTACCGCGGTGCTTTCCAGCACTTCAGACCCTCTTCAGTGTTGTCAACTAGCTCACTGGCAACATGCAGCGATACGCAGTTTTGTGGGCAAACCTTCCCTGAAGGGGCCGCACTTGACTTGGAACGGACCTCTCGAAAAGACACACGTGTCCCTATGGCTCGTGTTACCAACTGAACTGGAAATGAATTACATCCACGCTTTAGTGACGACGGTCCCTAACAATCAGCCTGCCAAGGGGAAAAAGACTTTTGATCTGACGGTAGGCCAGAATCTGTAGGGCTGCTAGTGTAATTCTGTTGAAGTCTCAGCATGTGGAGGAATAGCAATTACATATTACTAGTAGCCGAATACGGTGCAAAGTGCTGCTGAGAAGCAACGGAGCACGTTATTGTCATTTCATCTCGATTTCTCGCCCAAGCACAAGAATTTTAACCGACATGATGATGCATTGCGGCATCGCCCAACCAGCCATGTTTGTCGTCCAGTGACTAATTGCCAGGCGAGTGCTGTAACTGCACAAATTTTCCCAACGAGGATAGCATCTCGACAACGGCACTTACCACTTTCAACATGGCGGTTCACTCAACGCACAGTTATGCGTGTACAGTGACATCGTCTGCCGCACCTTCGCAGGTCCCATAACTTTCCAATTGTTCAGCAATCTAAATTTATCTCTCCACCCCACTGCGTTCGGATGTGCGTAGAATGGAAGTTCACAGGGTCTGCAGACTGTCGCTTGCTGCGCGCAGGATTTCGTGCACGCCTCTCGTTCACACACTTGTGCGGATCATACACACACACACACACACACACACACACACACACACACACACACACACACACACACACACACACACACACACACACACACACACACACACACACACATCCTCTTCGGCAGGACATGTTTTGTGTTTCTACTATACTAGTGCTGTTTTTTTTTAGTATGATAATTATTCAATATTATAAGCCTCTAGACCGAGGATCAAGATCAGAGGATGCACAGACCTCGCCATGCACATGCATGTCAAACAAGACCACATCGTACATCCCCTTTGTTGCTATTTCTACTATGACTCACGGACTAGGCACGAATGAAGACTGAATAACGAGTGGACAATGCACGAGAAATTCGTAGGGAATGGAATGCATTTGCCTACAGAATGGCAGCCACGGGTGCTTCATAGCCACGTCATTTCGGGCAGGAAAAGTCCTGTTCGGCTACATCGGATTCCGACATTTTTTGAGGTAGTCAGATGGACGTGCATTCTGCCTGCTTGGCCCTGACTGATCACGATGGCTGACGGATACGTTACGAATATTCCTGAGTGTTGGGATCGGTATGATCGGTATTATCATTGTCGTACCGGCACAGTAACACAAAACCTATTTAACGGGCAAATGACTTGTATGGCGTACTAGCAGAGTGCTGTCATTAACATCCTTTTGGCACCTGACGAACCGAGGCTGGCGTTACACGAGTACATAATTATTATGATTTGTACTCTGCCTCTGACCTTGTTATATAGCAATAATAAACCCATCAGCAAGCCTCTGGCGGATAGTACGCAAATGCTGGCGGTTAAAAGAATAGGTGCGTGTATCGTACCAGTTAAACGAGCTTCGCCCAGATTCCATGCATTGGTTTGCATCACGAGAAAGAGCTGAGAAGATATTGGGACTGATTTGCAACGTGACTAGAGGAGATAGAACGATCATGCCGAAAGATGAACAAAAATTGGGGAGCCTGGCCCTTCCTATCCTACGATTGTACTATGGTAGAGTTCGAATCACGAGGACACGAGGACTCGTTGGAAAAGGAACTCATCGCCGATACCAGCAACAGGGCAAGATCAGGAGTACAGAAACGCTGGAGATTGACCCTGGAGCCCTGGAGCCCTGGAGATTGAGTAACCCTGGCGCATGTACATGACTGTCACGTACCTTGATCAGTAGACAAATTGTGTTCACTTGACGTTGGAACTTATTAAGAAGGAAGAACTGGAATCAACGTGACGTCATCTTGGTACATCACATGGCCAAATGCATGTCTGTACCACAGACTATGCGCATGCTAACTGAGTGCTGCTCGGTATAAACTATTCCTGGCGGTGCGAAAGTAACACGCTAAAACTGACATGGCCATATGTGGGCACTCTGGCGTCCATCTTGGATACAGACGATCATCATGACTAATAGCCTATGGTCCAGTATGAAGGCAAGTTAAAGAGAGCAACTGGAAATCGCGGAACGCAGGCACTCACCATCGATATGCATCACAGACCAGTGTAGTGTGTTAGAGTCATAGCATTGCCATGATTCGTTCATTCATGTCAAGATTCAAAAATCATCTTTTATCCTAATAGTACTGTAAGTAGGTCTACGACGCTGTTCTGCTCAAGGTCTACGAGGACTGACTGTAGAAGATCTACATGACTGTATAATCAGCGTTTCAGTTTCCCACGTTCCAGAACCCCGGGAGCTAGTGTACTCCGCAGGGACTGACGGGAAAATCGCGCATCAAGACGCTCGCAGCGATATTTCCTCCAGATCCAGACACAATCATGCTTTGACCTCACAGTCAGCCTCTGAACTGCAGTGAGGGAACGGAATGTTGGCTTGAGAATTGCGATGCAGTGACCCTTAATTTAGAAGTAACTTTCACAGACTGGAGGCGCTCTCGAGCCGATGGAATTCCGAACCGTTTCATCAAGAATGCGATAAACGAAGTAATTATTCAGGACTGATAGTCACGTTGCATTCATACCGGCGCAGGGGAGCATGTCAAAATAATAACTGTTGATAGGAATGATACGGAGTTTGAAGGCCCGGGTGAATGGCAGTCGCGCGCACTTTGGTGGTCTTCGATCTGCGCGCAGAGTTCCGAACTCGTCCAACCAAATCAAATCCCAGGGCCTCCTCCCATTTAGTCGCGTCTGAATACATGTACATGATGCTGTTCTTAAATGCGCGAAGGTGTGATGTGTCCTAAACACCATACAACCTGTGAACAGATGGCCAGTGGCAATAACCCAAATGGGTGGTGGTAAGCTTTGGTCCACATCGCTGATTCGTCTTACTCATCCCGATTTTTAGATCTGGTGAATTCCCCGCCTGGACGGGCAGACGTTCAACCTTGTTCAAGCAAGGTGGGAGCTTGCAGCTTCGGATGGCATGCAGGCTGCGTGTAAAACATTGCAATATTTTCATGTCCACGAGATCTGACTGGTTATTCTCCATATGGATAACAGTTCGCACGATCATGATGACAGCGAGGAAGTAGCAGTGGTACCCAAGCAACTCTGTTCTACCTCCGTATTCCATGTCTTTGTTTCCTATCATTTCTTTACTTCTATCAACTCGGCTGCGAACTAGCTTACCTGTGGAATGATCTCTCCAGCACTTCTTGGTTCGGCTTTTCGTCCTTCTTTCTGTCCGTGTGTCCGGACGATCGGAGCGCATTGCTCGGTTGCAACGTATCGGGTACTCGCAGGTTTGGCACGCGACGCCACGCCACTCCAAACGGTCAGCGTCGTTCGCAGCTCACGAACTTTCGATCTGTTCCTATCATTTCTGTCGACTGGCAAGGAAATCACACAATGCCGTGCGTATACTGTGCTGTAACTTGTAACGGCTTCAATTTCGCCTTCTATTGTGCAGTGATCGCGCCTCTGTAAAAGTCCATTGAGGAAATGAACGAACTGTTCTGTGGTAGAAGTCAATTTATCCTTGGACACACTATGCCGTTCACACTCCATGGAATGATATTGGCAGATCACGCATGCACTGCGATGACACTACCCTAGCATATACATGGACAAGACGTTGGCTTTAGACGTTGGCGGCGGGCATATCAAAGCCGCCGGAATAGTGCGGAGAAGCGTGAAGCGCTGGTATGAGGCGGGCTACAGAAAGGTTCTGCCTTACTGTCTGCTGCAGCTCCTGACTTGCGCGGTCTAGCCGATCTGCCAGTTGCAGACTGGTATGCGTCCGCACGACGACAGGCGACCACGTGACAACATGCTCCGGAGCGACATCCTCACTCTGTCTCATCGGTCCACCTTCCAGTTCTAGTACTAGCAGAGGGCAAGTTTTAAGTACAGTGTACGTGACACCACCATGTCTTGGCTATTTGTTTTGTTTGTATTTTATCAGTGCAACTCATCTTCGAAGAGCGCATGTTTGTATTGTCCCCATGCACTCTCAGGCCGAGTCTGGGGGCAACTCAGTGCATGCAAATCTCAGTCCAGCAGGTGACAATGAGAAGCAGAAAACAAGTAAAATAAATGATACACTTCTCATGGTGTTTGTACACTGGCCTGGCTGACCGCAAAACAAGAGTCGATGTTACTTGAGGGACTCCGACCTGCAGCATTGCATGGCAATTTCCATTGAAGCACCGTGTTCGCTCACTTCGCCTGCTTCAAGTAGCTCACGGCCCTAGAGCAAATGGACTTCATCTCTCGCTGTCTCCGTCCCACGGCAGAACAGTGCGGCCTGTCCAGAACTGTCCCCCAGAGGATTTCAACAAGTCACCAGAGTTGTGGCACCTAATGCCATTGCTACTACTAATCGCGACAAGGGAAAGAGGTCCCTCAGTGAAGGCAAGCCACTCAGTCTGACTGCGGCCCAGTGTGGTGCGCGAGGCACTGCAAGTCGTTTCATCGATTTCCATTCGTCTCGACTTCGCTTACGACTTCACTTTGCGCGTACTTCAAGTACATGTAATTGCAATAGTATGAGTATATTACACGCTAATGACCACACAAACACCGAGCATGACATGTACATGTACATGTATGTGTACTATTGTATACACGGACCATCTCTTGAAAGCGTTGGCGTCCGGATTCCTACGTATAATACACCAATACGTCCTCCAACGATGTTCGAAACGCGTTGATGAACCCAGGTGTCTTACATGAATGGATCAAAATCATGTTTTCTGTCCTTTGAGGGCTCCGAATCACGTAAGTAAAATTGTACCTGTGTATTTCTGGAACGAACGGTTCACATTATTCGAAGGTGGAAGGTGGTTCTAACTAGTCTGGTACGTGTACCTTCAATGCCATCGATCAGCAGCTGCTTTTTATTGAAGTGTAAGGGATGACTCCACTCCACACGATCATCAATAAGAATCTACCCAAATGAAATTCTTGAGCAGGTCCAAACGATACACTCAAAGATTCTGCCTAGGGTACTACTATCGCGGTTTTTCATAACTCTTTGTTTCATGGCAGGCAGGCATAGTGGGATGGTCAAAGAGAAGATAACAGAAGGACTACGTCCAAGCCCTGATTGGAAGCAGAAGTATTTTTCGAGCAGTGCTGCAACCCAAAATTACCGGTGGCTGGGACTCATGGCCTGGTACGAGGGAAACATGGATGCAGCGAATGGAATTTTTCGGTCCTTCGCCACTTTGGGGTACAGTAACACCATAGGTCTGATTTAGCCTAGCCGAGCAGACTAGGCGGTCCCCGGTGGTGCCGTGGGGCACGAAGGTATAGAGTACTATGGTATAGTATGAGGTATAGAGTACTATGGTACAGTATGACACGTTTTTACATACTGTACCTGGGTGATACTAATTCAAGACAACAGTACCGACTAGACTATAATTCGGACAGTCAGGTCACTGAGCACATGGCATTGTACTACTTACTGAGAGAACCAAACCACTACCAGGGATCAGGGAGTAGTTCAAAACAATCATAAAAATTAATGATATTGTCATCATTGTATTGGACTACTCCCCAACCACTACTACTCTAGCCACATCCAGTTCCAGTACCCGGCAGTAGCTTCGTTGTCAAAGTGCAAATGGCAGTCATTTTCTCACAAGTACTCACAAGTACTTTAGAGCAACATCTCACAAAATAATAATATGATCTGCCAAGGAGCAACACTGGCACCAGTTGCTAAGTTATCATGCTTGCGCTTGCATCACCATTCATTTACATATTTAATTATAATTATAATTATTATTTTTTGTAAATGTACTTACGAATACGAAGCAACAAAAAATGCAATCCCACTTTGTTGTGTGCTGACGTGTGTGCCTCAAGGGATGAGTGAAAACTGATAGCTAAGTAATTAGTTTGTAAGATGACCGTTAATTTGACGATCTTCACACATGTAAGTTTCAAGTACATGATCCATTGCACAGTATGCGTACAACCATGTATTTCAAATCAGGCTTTTACTATTAGATTGAATCAATCGAAGAAACAAATCTAGCATTCCCAAGTGTCATTAGAATTGACAAGCCATTCATCTATACGTTTTATTGTCTCCCAACCCGAGATACTCTGGCATATACATGTAACATATACATGTACACTGTACATGATTGTACAGGATGCAAGACTTCCGCAGTCACCCAAGCGACATGTGCTGTACACATGTACATGTATAATATAGTGAGCGAACAATGCTTTCTGTGAGAACACAGTCAGTGTAGACGTACAAGGATAATCATAAAGTACATCGTTTGTAGTGTCGGGCTGCTTTATAATAGAACGATTTCCCCTCCAGCGTATCACCACTTGCTACATGTGCATGTACGTGGAATACGCCGCAAGTTGAACAAACCCCATTATTACTTCAATCGTCATGAATGTGGCAATGGCGATTGTGGTGGTTGTGAGCGTGTAACATACCGCTTACAAGAATCTACAGCACGTACTCGCGCTGCAGCTGTGTGATGCAGTGATCTCATGCATAGTGGGCGACACAATAGTGCAGTGCAACTGGCCAACCATATCGGACGGAGATAAGTCGCCCACAGAGTAAGCAAAGGCGGCCCCACTCAGGGACTAGAGACAGAAGCCATCTAACAGCCATGTACTACCTACTAATCTAAAGATTCTCCGGAAGCATCACTCCCGGAGGAAATTTACTACTTTCACCTCTTTAACCCTTTCAGCACGCATCACGTATATGTACGTGATCGTACATGTAACTGGCCCACGGATCACGTATATATACGTGATGCGTACAGTGAAAATGAACGTACTCTCGAGACATCCGTGGTCGACGGATCTTATCCCTACGTGGACCAGTGACGTGCTGGATGAACGTCGACAGTTCTACGATAGTACTGACGTGCGCATGTGTGCCGCTATGCACGCGTACTAGTACATAGATGTCGGGTGCGAAATTATTTGAATAATAGAATTTTGACAATTTGCTGTCATGGCGCGGCGTCGATATAGTGCAGACGGTCTTGATCATGTCCTCGACCTTGTCGTACTCGACCCTGACAGTGATGTCGAGCCGACATTGTCTGAAGACGACATCGTTCTATCGGAGGAAGATGGAGATCTGCCTGAAATTAGCGCAGCGTTGCCAGGCGATAGTGAAAATGAATTGGACGACGACGATGTCGTAGGAAACGCTGCGGATGACGATGTAGGTAGCGCCAGCAGCGACAGTGACGGTGAGAACGAGGGGGTATCTGCTAAAACGCACGTGGAAGCAGTCGAAGCACTGGCTGAGGGCGACGATGGAAGTGAAGGTCAGTGTGCGTATGGATCTGAAAATAGTACTCACAATTTCAAATTTTCAAATAATTGTACTAAAAATCTTGTCACTCAGCTGATCGCTCAATGATCATGAACGGACTTTTTTCCTCATTCACATTGCATGTAAATGTGTATTGTATTGCAAACGCTTATCATTGTGAGTTCCAAATTTGAATTATATTTTTAGTATTCATACACATGTACAACTCAATCTGCGGACAGAATTGTACAATGCAAATTATTATAATTATTAGCATTTGTGTGTGACACTGGGAACATCATAGGATTTGTCATGGATATTTTGAGGATCGTGGCAGGCTTTATGTAGTTGCTAGCTACCTGCTAGTTCACTGTAGTGGTATTGCAGCGATCAGCTACTTTGTGTGAGCTGCATTCAATAATTTGTGTGAGCTACATTCTATAATTTGTGTGTGGGGGGGGGGGGGGCACACTCGCGCGCGCGCGCGCGCGCGCTCGGGTGCGCTTTCATGCATATGTCCAATGGTGTACATGAGTGTACGGGTGAATGTGAATGCGAGAATTGCATGACTGGATAGGTCTGCATAGGTGTGAATATGTGCATGTCTCTGCCGGTGTCTGTTCGGCAAGAACCTGTTGCCTAGCTATTCGTATTGCATTCCGTGTTTCGAGGAGTCTCGCCGAGGGAAATAGAGCGGTACTCGCTCGTGTCAGGGGTGTTCAGGTCTGAGCACCGCTTGAGGATCGTGGCAGGCTTTATGTAGTTGCTAGCTACCTGCTAGTTCACTGTAGTGGTATTGCAGTGCTCAGCTACTTTGTGTGAGCTGCATTCAATAATTTGTGTGAGCTACATTCCATAATTTGTGTGTGTGTGTGTGGGCGCGCACTCGCGCGCGCTCGGGTGCGCTTTCATGCATGTGTCCAATAGTGTACATGAGTGTACGGGTGAATGTGAATGCGAGAATTGCATGACTGGATAGGTTTGTATGAGTGTGAATATGTGCATGTCTCTGCCGGTGTCTGTTCCGCAAGAACCTGTTGCCTAGCTATTCGTATGTATTGAATAGTTCCTGACGCCCCTCAGCTGTCTTCAGCAAACATGACCATATTTGGTCATCATCTACTCAAGAACAAAACCGTAATTATGTCAAACCTAGTTCTTACCATCATATCCACCTGGCCATTCTAGTATAAATGAGCTGCATGCTCTGGTACTTTCAACCCGTATTATGGGAAAATTCATCAAAAATGCGTATATTTTGTACTCGTTTTACTGGCTTCTATTGACCAAATATGGAATTTTGTGTTGGGAATTGTTCTCACTGAAACCTATGCATT